ATCATAAATGGGTATAAAAGATTTAAAGCTGGTAGATCTGCTCGGGTTGTTGGAATGGGCCACTGTTTATGAATCTTGTGCTCGACAGCTGTCCAAACCCAGTCGACCCAAACCAGGTCGTCTTCCATCCGGTGTGGAAAAATGGCGGAGTGGAGTATCCATCCCATGTAAAGCGCTTTGAGGTCAACATGTTTGCCTTTGCTCAAGACCAGGATAACTTGACTAAGCAGGTAATGTTTTTTTTTCTTTTAATTCCCCCTCACAGAATGCAGAATTCATTGACTTACCAGTTTGTCATTGCAGCTCTATATCCACTGCGATGTGGTGATTTGTGACTCCCGAATTCGCCTGAGTGACGCATGTAAGAAGAGGTTGTGTTACAGCCAAGACAACAGGATGAAAGGTGGGGCCACAATTTTTATTTTTATGTATTTTTTTTTTTTTTTAAACTTGAATATCTGTTCTAGTTCAAAAGAGAGCTGCTCCAAATGTGCGAGACGTCACATCAGTGTCTTCTGGATGCATCTATCTAAATTAATAATAAAAGTGACTTTTAAACATGACATTGCAGTGGTGGCCTTGTTCTATATCAAACTCCTTGATCATTTTTTTTTCTTCCCCCTCCCCTTTAATGGAGGAACAAAGTTCCTCTGTAAATTACCTTCAAGGAGGATTAAGTTTTATTGGTGTCAGGCTGACAAAAAGCCCCCCTCATAGAGTTAATATTTATTAGCCAACATGTTAATACATGTTAATTGTATGACACTTATGGTTTTATATTAGCCATTATGCTCGACACTGGCTTGTATTAAATATGCATGATGCATATGAATCAGAAAATTGCATCACATTTAGTCAGCATATAGGATAAAGCAGTAATGGGAGAAACCTTTTGTCTTGCATATTCTCTCTGTGCTTGAATGTAACCTGTCTACACACACACCTGCATCCATGTATGACAATGATATCAACATGGGAAAAGGTTTCATACAGTTACATGAACAAGGATAAAAAGTACCGGTATGCGCAGAGATGTAAATGGCACAAGATTCAGCATGATCACAATCGCAAAGATTAGGTTACGTTAAGAGGAACTGAAGTATCATCTGAGGACTGGAGTTTGGGTGCAAATGCCAGCAGGACCAAAGCAGTGTTTGTTTCATCTGGCCCGTGTTTAGCATCGTACACACCATGTCACCAAAGAGCATGCTGACTGATTCCAATTTTGAAGACACCTATATGCTTATTAGATGACAGCTTGGTTAAATAAGCCTTATGGCAGTGCTTCCATTTTCTGTTAACCACCCACCCAGGAACAAAAGCATTTTCCACCTTACAAAGGGGGAAAAAAATAGCACTTATGAAAAGAAAAAAAAAAAATTGAAATATACCGGTGTATATATATATATGTGCCAGAAATAAACACATGCCCCTACTTTAATGGTATACTATTCTATTACTGCAATTAAAAAGCATGGTACACCCACTGTCAAATTTTCAAACTTTCCTAAGGTTCAATGGTTTTTTTTGTGCAGGCCCATTTCATGAGTTTAATTCAGTGGTTCTTCACCTTGTTAGAGGTACCGAACCCAACCAGTTCATATGCACATTCACCAAACCCTTGTGAATTTTACAAATTCAACATTAAATGCATTTAAAAACAATACAAATTCAAGACAATTTTTATGGTAGAGGCTCCATCAAACCCAGGTTAACCACTGGTTTAATTGTTGCACCACAATTGAAAAGCACTGATTTTTGTAGGTTAAACATTTGCCATATTCCTTTATTAATTTTGTCTATGTAATCACTGCAAAGTTTTGACTGAATTCTCATGCACATTTTTAACTTCATGAAGCACATTCCACTCAAGTTAGACAATTAGACTTTAGTTTATCTAGTCGTGGGAAAAAAAAAAAATTGTGACAAGCATGCTCACTATTTTGTACCAACTGGAATCCATTGCAGTCCCATGAAGAAAATAGAGCATTGCGATACAACTTTGTTTAAGAATCTTTATTTAGAGCTAAAGAGGTGAACAGGACCAGTTGAGATCCTCCTTGGCTGTCTCGAGTCTGCGCTTTGTGCTGGGAAGAGATTAACGGTTAGTAAATGTCATGGAATCATTCAATCGATCAAGGCTCACTTTTCAATCCTTTGATCCCTTGGAATCCAGAAATGCCAGGACTGCGACGTGGACACTGACCTCTGCAGATATCTTCTGATGTGTCGTTTATGTCACATACCATTGCTTTACAGTGGATGTAGATCTAAAATTTAAAACTACATTAGTATGCTGTACAGGATGGTTTTAATCTAGAAGCTGTAAAAACCTTGTACCTCATCTTTAAGAATCACATCATCTTTGGTAAAGGTGAACATGTTTATAGAGAAACGCTTGAAGTGGGATGGGATGTTGACCCTGGCATCAGCCGTGACAGGATGGAAGAGTGTAACATGGCTGTCCTCTTTGTTCTCACAACTGTCGATTCAAAAATTGGCATTAAATGAGTAGGGAGCACAATGAATTAAAAAACAAATAAAAATCGTACGTGTTCACAATGACATCCCAACTGGGCTGAGAACTTGAGTCTTCATAAGCAGTGGCCCAGCAGCTTTCCAAGATGAGCTCCAGTGAAGGATCATTAGAACGAGTCAGCGCCACCTCAAAGTACAGAGGCTGCCTGAGGTATGTCACTACTGGGTAATCTTCAGCTTGGTAGAAGTAACTATAGGAGGAGTCTGAAGCAGAAAACCAAATTAGTCATTGTCTTAAACATTTTTGGCCGAGTATTCTTACCCTGAGCCAGCCTCATTTGGACATCAAGTTGTCCCATTCCAATCTCAGCTGAGGGGTAAGTGCTGTGGGATTTGTAGCCGAACTTAACAGTCCGAGTGTCATTTATCATGTAGTAGCAGGACACAGTTTGCCTATGTAGAAGTGAAGGATGCAGCTGAGGTAATAATTCATTATATATGATGATAGACCATCAGGGTGAAGACTTGCCTATACTCAGGATCATTAGGTGATGCGTAGGTATTGCCTCTGTTGGTATAATAGTGGCCAATCTCATTCTGGTAAATCATGTAGTTGTCAAAGAACTGGAGGAAAAAGAAAATTACCACTTTTAACCTTTCATCCAAAGTTTTATATTTAAAAACAACAACTTACAGTTCTTGTGGTTCCACAGCTATCGACGCCGAATGAGAAATAGGCGAAGCGGTCATCACTGAAGAATGGCTTACAGGACTTGTCCTTGAGGGTGAGCCAACCGGGGATGAGGTTGGGAACAGACTCCACTTTGGCAGCCAGAGCCGTTATTGTTCCATTGGGATAGCACACTGAGGACAGGAGGCAAGAATGTCACCAAGTTCTGCCAACTTTTCCACTGCATTCAGGTTTGCCTTCTTGACATTTATATTTAAAAATAAACCCACATTCAAGTCATGTTAGCCCATGTATGAAATTATCAGCCTGTCATTTGATACATTTCCATTTTCAAAAGAAAGCATTTCTTACTTGTAGTTCTCAAGGGGAAGTTGCAAGACAGGAAGAAATCAGCAAGCATCCAATTATTGGTCATCTCCCAAAGTAGTATGTCAAGTCTTGCCCTGATTGAATCGGCGGTTACGCGCTGTGTGGTGGGAAAAAAACCAAAAAGTTAAAGGCAGTTCCAAGTCATTTGTTATATTCCGCCAAAGTAGTATGTCAAGTCTTGCCCTGATTGAATCAGCGGTTATGCGCTGCGTGGTGGGGAGGGAAAAAAAACAAAAAAAAAAGTTAAAGGCAGTTCCAAGTCATTGGTTATATTCCTAAACTCTACCTCAAATGCCGTCTGTTTGGCAGTAAAAGGAACCACAAGGGTAAGGTGGGTCTCATTCTCTTGCAATCTGAACTCTTGTTCCAGCTCAGGGGTCAGTGGCTTGTATTCAATCAGAGTCTCAAAGTTTTTGCCTTGATTTCCAAATGTCACTTCAATGTAGAACAAATGCTGATCACAAGTGCCTTTGATGGTGGGGAGTACTTAAGGCGAAGAAAGAAAAAAAAAAAATTAACCATGTTATAAATGCAAGGCTGTGTTCAAATGTGGTACACATCTTACCAACATCTTGCAGAGAGGCAGTAAATTCCACGGGATGAGCAAAAGCCGTTTCTTCTGGATGAATCAAGAACCCAAAGACGAGAGCAAGTGTGTAGGTTGTCACCAAGGGCTCGGGATTCTACAGATTGATGAGAATCTGGTTTCATTTACACGCGTCACTATTGCAGAAACGCCAAGTAGGTCACATACATGTTTGAGGACTTCAGTGGCAACAAAGGGAACTTTCAGAGAAAAGCTCTTCAGACCACCAGGATGTCTGTGCTCTTGTACAATGAAGCCTTTTGCGACGCACTCTTCCAGAGTGGATGTGCCAGTAGAGAACGTGATGTTCTTCAGCTCCACATCATCCAGGAAGGTGCCCACGTGGATGCCGAACAATCTCTCCTCTGCATTAGTAACTAAAAAGTGTCAGTTGTCAAGAGGATACCCTTAACAGAACCCTAATGAAACATTTAACCTTCAGGTCAACTTGACTTACAGTCAACAGCTTGGGGTGGCCTGGGCATAAGAGGTGTGGTGATGGGGAACAGGATTTTATATCTGGTATCTTCATGGCTTCGCTCAGCCCGCCACATGACTTCAAGCATGGGCTCGACTGTGTAGGTGATGTGGTACTGGTAATCTGGGGCATGGCTCTGTAATTATGTATGGCAGTTTTAAATAAGTCATGTCGGTGGACAAGCCGCATACCAAACGCTCACCTTGTTGTAGCCATCAGGAGAACCCACGGGGATCTCAACGACAATGTGGAAGTCTGTAGCGGACAAAGCGTAGCCACGTGCGGCCATCTGACGCCGATCTTGCAAGAAAGAGGGCCCCACCCTTTTAAAAAAAAAAAAAAAAAAAAAAATTAAAATCGGTGGTCTGGGTGCGTGTTTGGGTTTTAAAGAAACTCACCTGTAGGGCAAGCAGCCACCATGTTCATGACTGTGACACCTTCAGGTGACGTGTGGTAGGTGCTAACCTTGAAAACCTCCATTGGGACTCCGGCCACCTAAAATTGGCATTTCAGTTATACTTCGGTTGATGGTATAAATTAAGATTTCGCCATGCCGCTTACATCTTCAGGATAAGTTTCTGCTGTACTGTAGGGGCTTCGTACAACAAGGCGGTGTGCAGTGGTCATGGCTTGGTAGCCAGCCTGTTCAGCCTCACCCTTCATCATCACTACTGGCTCAGGCGTGTAGAAGGTCATCTTCCAGATACCAGACTCATCAGTGGCCTATTTATAATTAAAAAAAATAAAAAAAAAGAAAGATTTGATTCAATTGCAATGCAAGGTGGTGCACCTTTCGTATCATTTTAATCCACATACACTAGGGTCAGCATTCCTCAAATATTCGTCACCCTGGGTATCCTTAACAGGTGGGGGCATGTAGTTTGACACCTAAAGAGGGGGAAACCAAAATGTTAAGTACAAACATTTGGATAAAAATGTAAAGTGGGCAAAAGCCACTTACTTCCATGTAGGTTCTGTCACAAAGAATCTCTCTGGTGGCCCAGCGGGTGTAGCTGCAAGTCCTCATTACATTATGGGTGACCACATCTGAGGGTTTATTGCTGTACATTTGCAGTCTGAGGCCAACAGTGAAGGTTGCATCATCCTACAAGGACAAGAGTCTGAGTAGGAGGACCAAACATTCACTTAAAATAATTAAAACAAAAGGTGACACAAGACACCCTATAGCCACCGACTCAATTGATTGACTATATCCAAGGATTAAACCAAGACTGAACTGTTGTGCAATAAGCCAATTCCCAAAAAAAGCTATAGTTTTGAGCTAGCAATACTTTGTTGTTCACATAGCAGCCCATCAGTGATGTGTAGATTCTGGTGTTGCCCCACGGGTCAGACTCCATGCTGTAGCCACACTGAGCAGCCAAGACGGGTGTTAGCGCGATGTGTTGGGTACCATCTGGTTGAAGAGGAGGAAACGATTTTTTTTTTTTTTGGGGTGGGTGGTGGGGAGTGCCACATCTGAGACATTTTAAGAGTTAAACTTACTGATGGCCTCCACTTCTAGTTGGTTCCCTACAGCCAGGGCTTTATCCAAAGAGAGCCTCATCAGATTACCCACACAGTCAGCTTTTAAACCACCTGCTGGGAAAGACACTGCTTAGAAATAGTGCACATAATGCATTTGAAACTAACAAAAAAAATATAAAGGAAAAAAAAAAAATCTCACTTGGCTGTGGCTTTTAGCATTTGGCTTTGCTTGACTCAAGGCGATTACCACAGCCAGCAGGCTCCGTATCAGTCTTTGAAAACAAGTCGTCACATTAGACACAAAACCACAGTGAGGAAAAAGAAACCAGATATACTTACACATTCTCTGAATTCATCATATTGCAATCAGTCAGAGTGGAGCCACACCACCCCACCCAAAAAAAAAAATGAAAACCTCACAGGAATGGAACCACTTGCAGAGATTGGCACACGAAGCCCAGCATGCCCCACCAACTCTGAAGTGAAGAAGGGGCTGACTACTTCATTTAGGCGTCATCACTTGCTATATATCACGGATATTGATGATGCACAGGTGATCTGCATCAGTAATCAAGTCCCCGCCACACCAACACTCACCCACACAAAAGCTAATCTATATATTTACATTAAATTACATAGAGTAGAAAATGCAGGAAATGTTTCTCATTCGCGTTCTCATTATTAACCTTTAAGATACTCACTCATCCAAAGAGCACAGCACATTAAGAAGGCAAATAATGCAAATTGAAGGTGCTTTTAGTGGTTACCAACTCAACTATCTGGTACCCTGAAAAGGTTTTTGTTGAATTTACTCAATTTCGTAGAGTGGTTGCATGTAGTAAAATAATCTGGTTCTATGTAATTTTTAGGTTGACTATACAGCTACTAAAAAAATATACCTGGATCGAGATGATTTTATTTTGTGCAGTGACTTGATGAAGTCAAATTTAATAAATTCAACACACTATTTTTTTCAGTCAAGACCATTATTTAACATTGCGCCAAAAGTAGCACATCTGCCTCACAAGTCAAGTTTTAAATTAAACCCATCCCTGGGTTCAAAATATAATCCATTATTCCTTGGATGATAATAAACAATTGAATCAGTGTTTCGTTAAAATATAGATAAGGCTTATTAAAACACTCCTGTATGTGGCATGTGTGTTGAGACAAAATCATTGTGATCCACACGATTAAACTGCTTGAAATTTATTTCATACAGTATGATGGTTAATGTTTCAAAAATGTGCAACCATTGTGAACCATAGAAATGTGTTTATGGAGGCAAAACAACTGACAATTCAATACTATGTTGATAAGTTCAACAGAGGGTGGACACAAATGTTCACAGACATCAATAGCCTCTGTTCGTCTTGTCCTGTTGGTCCAGCAGAGTCCGTTGAAGACCAACTTTGGCATCCGCAAAGGCTTCATTGAGGTTTAAAGCTTGTTGGAAATCCCTAACGGCATCCTCAAAAAAACCTGTAAGATATTAAGAGTAGAGGAAGGTGATGGTTTTCAAAGGTGTCACAGTGGCTTGTTGAGTCAGCATTTGCAGTTTCCCACACGGGCTTTGGATTTATAAATACACACCACCATCTGGTGTCCTCGAGAAGTCAACAGTGTTGGAGTCATATGCAAGTAGTTTAAAAATGTAAACCTATATTTTATTTTTATGCAGTATTATAATTCACACAAATATTCTTCAGCCTCAAGACATAAACATAACATATCAATAAATAGAATCTTTCGTAGATAGGTTGAGGTTATTTTAATCGAACTGCATTTTTAACAACGGTAGAATGCAGGGTGTTTAATTAGAAAAGAGAGGGTCATTTATGACGTTCGGACGATGTTATCAAGGGGACAGTTTTGAAATATAATTTGAGTTTGCCTCGTACAACAAATAGCTTTAAGGATAATTTATTTTGAAGGCCGGAAGCCGGAAGTAATCTTGGACTGAGGTGTCTGTCCTTACCCAGTCTATAATGAATTAATCCTCTGTTGTAGAACGCTACTGCAAACTTGCCGTCAGCCTTTATTGCCGAGGAGTAATCCTCGACAGCTTCGTCAAAATCCACCCGAAAGTATTTTATTTGGCCGCGGTTGTTGTAAGCAGTCGCCAAACGAGAGCCTTCACCCTCCCTGTGAAAACAAGGTGACAGCGTCTTCCTCTTGATTGCAAAGTGCCGCAAACCTTAACAAGCCTTATAAGACAACAAACAACAACCTGTAATGTGCGCAGGACGAAATGAACTTGTTGTAAAGCTCTTCAGCCGTTTTGAAATTCTGTTTTTCAAATTCTATGTTAGCATTTTGAAATATTTGTACACACTCGGCCTCCATTACGACCAGAAGTGACGTCACCCAATAGGGTTCAGTTCCGTTTGTAGTGGGCGCGGCTACTTGTGACGACTACGGAAAAACATCTCTTCACACACTGTGCTGAATTTTAAGCGAGATTTGTTTATTGCGCGTGCAAATGTCACAGCTTTTGATGCTTATGTATCCCCCCCACCCCCTCCATGTCGTTGTATCCATTCTCTTTCCTGCTTAATGCTTGATTCTATTGCAGGAAGCTGGAGCTTATCCCATCTGACTCACTTTCACACCATCACTGAGTGAAAACTGAACCCACACTCCCTGCATGGACTTCACGCAAGTGAACCGCTGCACGGTCAGTAAACTTGTTCAGTTTAGTTTCTATCTATCCATTTCCCGACAGCTGAAACTAGGGGCCATTTGGGTTGCAGGTGAGTAGGAGCCCATCCCAGACCGCACTCTAGACTGGTTGCCAGTGAATCATTCATGGACATCTAGACAAAGAATTATTCAAGTTTAGTTTAGTTCAGTTTTTATTGCAGTTGTGAGACATTCTCAAGCAATTTTCATAGTGAAGGACACAGCTGTCAGGGGGAAAGTGGTACCTCAACCATGCAGAGGTCACCCGGTGGCCATGCATGCGTGCCCTTTTTGTGCCTCATTTATCCCCACACTGTGTGAAAACCAAATAGCCACGTTTAACTCTGTCCTGAAAGGTAATGCATGTTTATTTTACTGTGAAAAGGGCGATAATGTGCTTAACGCATGCATGTAGATTGATCCACATATTCATAAAGTAGTATTTTATCATTATTTTTTATTAATCCTTGCTTAGTTGCAATAGCAACATTTGAAGCCCATACATTGAAAGAAGAACTACTGTATATGATTTTGCCATAATTCTTGTTTGCACCAAATTACCATTCAAAATGTATTCAAACTAATTCAAAGTGGAATAAACCCTGCTACTTTTTGTTCGGTGTTTATGGTTCATCTGTGTTTTCCCTCATGTAATAATTGAATGGATGGGTGGATGGACTTTTTTTCCTTTCAATCATCACCCTTACAATGACCCGTTTTGTTCTGGCTCAACTTCGATTTAAGCAAAGGGTTTACTTGGAAGACATAAAAACCTCCACATGAACTTGAAGTAAACGTCCGGCGTGCAGCTCAGGAACTGACAATGTCTTCAATGTCTCTCTGTGCTTTGGTATGCGGTTTACCGGCTGAGAGACTTGACACAAAGTGTTCAAGTCCAAGTGCACACCTGAACAACCATCCATCACCCACCTTCAGTCAGTCTTCCAAGGGCATTCCCCGTGAGGGAGACTGGAGTTTACTTTATGCATAAAAAATATGAAACTGAGGATAACATGAATTTGTTTTACTTTGTTTTTGTTGTATAGTACAGTTAATTTCTCTATGTGCATGATTTTAGGGATGTATTGATGAAAAGTTATCAATTTTGATTACATTATTGATTCTGCTTCCGGATTCTAAAAACCCAAATGTATTTTATTTTATATTTTTTTGTATGTTAGTCTACTCTTTATTTCATAGGCTTTGAGTTTACCGCAATACGTCGGCTGGAATCTATACGCGTTTTTTCCACTTCACAGTAATGTGTCAGTTACATTCGTCTTCTTCCTCCCACTGACACGGCAGCGTCGGCTTCGCCTTCCGTGTGTGTGCTAACCCGGCAAGGTTGCAAACAAACATAAAGCAGCTGTCTAGTAAAAGAGGAGACGCGAGTCGACTGGAGGTAAATGTTGACTCGTGAGGGTGCACACAGAAGACACTCTGTGTCTGACTCGCTGTCTGGCAAACAAGCCAACCTGTCCCAGGGGTCACCTTTGACCCCTGAATATTGCTTGCAGTAACATCCAAAGCAGTAAATATACTTTGGGTCTTATCAGATGAGTTCATCACCACATATTAAGGCATCAAATTATGACTAAAATTTGTGCTACTGTACGGTAACTATTAGTGTTTCCAATTCTATGACATAATGCATGGGCCTCTTCTCTTGAGCAGCGGCATATCTGAAGTTCAAATAAATATCAATTTTCCCTTAAAATATTAGTTTAATGTACATTCATTTCATGATTTAAAAAGACACAATATAAATATGGTGAGCTCATCGTTTTTTATTCAAACTCATGATATCAAGCGATCAGCTGTAATATATATTTTTTAAAAATAATGTTCGCATTAACAGTTACGTAGTTTCAATGCAAATTTATATAACACAATGTACCGCATTTTCATGATATTTTAAACGAAATCAGAAAAAAAAACAATACAGTATATATACAAAATATGCCCATGTATGCAGTTGAGGTCACAAAATGTATTGCAGATTTGAGTTGTCTGTGGTGTTTCAGTAAAGATGAATGACGGACACAGTTGTTTGAGAGAGTAGATGTCACTGTAGATGCGATCAGTTTTTCTGTGGTCCATGACAGTCTATTGCATGCTTGACATCCATCCAGCAGCAATGGAACAGCACATGTGCGCGTTGCAGCAGTCCATGTCTCCGACACCCACTGGCAGCCTGTGCAAATAAATGAAAAGGGTCGCGCTGTGTGGTCGCCGGGATGGTGTTTTGACTGGCCGGTCGCGTCAGCCGAGCGTCAACACTCACCCCTATGTTGACCGTCACGCACGGCCCAGTGCCTCCTCAAGGCGCCAAATTCTCCGGGCGAAATCAGCAAGTGGCCTCGAAAGTTAAGGAGGGATATCTGCAAGTACGTTTACCGATAGACTCTTTGCCAATAGAGTAAAATGTCAAACAGTCACTCGGTGACAATCTGACAGACAGGATTAATGTCCGCTTCATTCAATACATCTATTTGCTTATCCATCCTCCGTCCGCCCTTCCATCTGTCCAAATGTTGTTTACATCCGTCATCTCGCCATCATACATGCATTGTTTGTTGCTCAACATTATGACCATCCATCCATGGTCTGTCCATATATATGACAGACACCACAGGATGTATACCTAATGTTGTGGCCGGTGGGTGAGTAGGCTTGCTCAGTGCAGTATGTGCTATTTATAACAAGAAGGATATGCGTGGTAGTAAGCTGCTGCAGGACCACCTGCGTCTGCTTCTGGAAAGCCAGTCTGGCTTCACACTTGCAAGGATCCACCACCACCTCTCCCCTCACCTCTTCATCACAATAAAGACAACATGTCACGGTGTCAGTTCATGCACGTGGAGTCATATTCAACGGACACATGAACGGTGTTATGGCAAGGTCAGGTTAATGTTGACTTGCACTTACGTTTCTGGGAACATGTTTTCCGGTCGGCATTCAGGATATAACCGGTGCGGCACTTGCAGTAATAAGAGTCAATGTTGTTGACACAAATGTGCTCGCAGTCATTTCCGGTGGCGCAGGGGTCCAGACCTAGGCCGGGGGGTGAAAGGGTGGATTCATTTGCCAGCATGCATACACTCGGATGTTGTAGTATAAAAGCGTAAAATAGTGTAAACATTATTACAGTCAGATTTAATCAGGTTCTAGTGCTGACATCTGCAGTCCATGTCGGGGTTCAGAATTTTCTTTTCCTTAAAATTGATTATAAAATGATCCGAAGCATGGAACACCCCCGTTAGACTGTAGGTGCCTCCAATCGTGCGACTAGAACCAAGGTTAAATGGTACAAGAAGGTCTCGCGGGCCATCATCGTCCTACCACACAGGGTCTCCCGAAACTTGGAGGTGAGCTTCTCAATAACACCGTAGGTCTCCACATAGAAGACGTGGTCCTCCAGAGGCAAGCTGGCCATCTGCTTCAGAGACGCCATGTCCGCACGGTCCACCCCGACAGCGTAGATCTCGATGCCGTCGGCCCGAGCCGCGGCGGAGATCTGCTCCACGTGGTCCTGAGGCCTCCCATCCGTCACGATGATGGCCACTTTGGCAATGTTCCGAGAGTGAGGCCGGGCTCCGGACTCCTCGGTGAAGGCTTCGTTCACAGCCGTCTTGATGGCCATGCCTGTCATGGTGCCTGCGGCCAGCGGCTCGATGCGGGAGATAGCTTTCTTCATGTCAGGCTTGTTGAAGTGGTCTTTGAGCAGGAACTCGATCTTGACTGTGCTGGCGTAGTTGACCACGGCCACTCTGGTGGCGTCCGAGCCAACCGCCAGAGTGTCGACCATGAGCGCCAGGAACGTCTTGACCTTTTCAAAATCGCTGATGCGGATGCTACGCGAGCTGTCAATGATGAAGACCAGGTCCAAAAGGCGGCGTGTGCACTGAGACTCTGGTGACTCTGGTGATCAACACGGCAGCATTAAGGCTATCTCAGTATTATTACGTGCCAGTTCTTAGCGCAGACAGAACCATTGTGGCTTGAGGCAAAGACTGACACATTCAGCCATGAGTAACAAAACTGACTTTTCGTCCTGTTTGACATGCACAGAGAACATTTTGGCTTTGTGCATCATCTCCAGAGGATTGTCAAATGAGACAGGGGCCTGCATTCATTCATTTCACATTGGTCTATATCCTTTCATCCTGAATGAAAGGATACCAGACAAGAATAAAAAAACATAAAGATGCCACCCGTTAAGGTGGACTTGGAATTCTTTTTCCTCCCAGTCACTTATACAAACACATAGAATACCATTCAAACGTTTGGACACATCATCCAATTCAATCAATGAAGATCGTGATTGAAAAGCTTGGGATACACTGGTCACTAGTAATAGTCTACCTGTCTTCACGGGACTGATGGTGGTGGTGAAGCCGCTTTGGGTACTGACCGGCTCTGGAGTGGTGGACTCGACTGGTGCCAGAGTGGTGGTCACTGCTGGCGTGGCGCTTGTGGTTGATGTTGGTGGCAGAGTCGGTGGCGCGGTTGGCGCCGTGGTTCGGTGTTGAGTGGGAGGGACAATTGGGAGGTACACCGCAGGTCTAGTTGCCACTGTGGGGTTAGGTTTTGTCGGACACGGGCCTTTTGGGTAATAATGGCCGATGGCGTAATGGTGGGGGTGGTGCACTAAAGGTGGGGCAATACCTTTGTAAATATGGGGCACCTGTGGAACCACTTGCCCTTTGAATGTGTGCTGATAGGGCCACATAGGGACTGCGGGTCTGTGGTAAGTCACTGGAGGAGATCGATAAGGAAAAGGTCGATACACTACCGGTGGGGGGATCCTTGGTGGCTGGTAGTGGTAGTGATACCCTCCTCTATACGTGTAGTCACCTCTGTGAACTACAGGGCCACCAAAGAGGAGATCATTAGTAGGTCAAAAGGAAGATCGTGTAAGTTGACACGGTGTACACCAAAGCCGCATTTCCACTGAATGGAACAGGTCAGTTTGCCTCAGATCGATTTCATTTTGATTTGGGGACCTTTTACAATGGAAACAATGACAAATCTTATAATTTCTACTGTTGGGTATACTGCTAAGTGGAACGATAGCCCTAAAAAGGGAGTTTGGTATGGATAAAATATGTTGTGCTCTTTCACAGTAGGATTTATACTTGCTGGTGACGTTTTAAGGGAAACCTGGATAAATGTGCAACATATCAAATTGAACTGACCTGTGTTGGATGGTGGAAGTGAGGCTTTCGTAACTTTCAGTCACGTAAACAGTACAGTGCAAAAACTTTAGTCCACCAAAAGCGTTGTTTTAATCGTCTTTTCAATCAGTATGGTACACAACTGTTCATTATTACTTTGCTTATAATGGTGGACTAAGACTTTTGGCGCCAAACTAACAAAAGTGAAGAATAAGTCAAAGTTTTGTTTTTGTGTGTGTTAGTGTGATAGCAGGATTACTTCATTTTAATTAATCACTCCTCGGTAGAGGAGTAGGGCCACTACATTGAGGTCAAGATGCACACCTCTCCACAAAGGTGTTTTTCAGTAATCCAGCTAACGCACAAAGAACCTTGGAGGAGGTAGCAACCACTTTCTTTTCAGCAGAAAGATCAGCGGAAATAGGAACGTGTGCAGTTGGGTTGTCTGCGACAAGTCAAGACTTTACATTGCTTGTCGCACAACATCGCAGACCAATAAACAGCATTCACTTCTAGCATTGTTGCAAAAAACGGTAGGAGTGGACACTTTTCATTGGTCAGCGACAGAAAGTAAGATTTCACGCTGTGCACAATACCTTTTTTTTGTTTTATAGTTTGTTTAGAAGATGACATTACTAGGCACATTATGTTCTATTTGACAATCAATTATAACTGCTCTAGAATGTAATCTTCCAGGAAAATGTACTGCACATGATTCAATAAAGCTTGTGGCTTGAAATAAAAACTTCCAAACCTGCATGACACAGTGCCGTTCTACACCAGTGTATTGGCGCTCATTAAATTTAGCAGCTTAGCGCATATGCTAATATATGATAATCATTCATATAAAAAATTGTGAGTAAATAATGCAGTACTTCCTCTATCCTGAAAAATGCAGTAGCATAAAATAATAATTGCATCTTGTATCAATTTCTTTAAAGGGAGAGTTGAACATACTTTCTGGGTTGAGTGTCCTTGTGGGTGGTTGTCCGTTGTTTCTGCTCTGTGCAAAGCTCTGCGCGTTGAGCCGGTAGGTGGCCAGCACGTCGCCCAGCATTAAGGGGGTGCCGCACACGAGACCCCACAGCCAGCACTTCATCATCACCATCATCCGCATCCCCCCCCTTCGCAACTGCCACTAGCGGTCTCCTCTCCTGACAGGGTCCCGAAGCTCCTCATATGAGGAGGCCCGAGGCCAACACGTCACAAATACATTTCAGTTGGGGGCTGGCTCACATGACCTCCTGGCCTCTGTGAAGGATGGCACGCAGGGTGGTCGAACTAAAAGATGTGAGCTCCACATTCTGGGAAGGAGGGTCATGGCAAGTCCATACAATTATCAAACTGAACACTTGTGTGTACATTGTGCTGTATTATATATAGTGCACGCTTGTGGCTGACTAGCAAGTGTCTATTCAGTTTAGCATCTATTTGGGGAGCGGCCTGCTTTAGAATGCAGCTTGTAAGCAAGGGGCAAAGAACTCATGACTGAGGCATCTATTAGATTCCCCCGAATCGGCAGAGACCCAGACAAATAAAATAAATTAAATAACGACAGATGGTCTCAAGTCTTTATTGAAGTCAGTTATATTAAAGCGGGTATAATGAAATTGAACAAAAGAAGCATGGTTAAGTAATGGGAGGGCATGCAACAACAACAAATGTTTCACGACAGATGAGTTGATGTCAAGCTGGTGGCAAAGCAGCTTTTTTTCTCCCTCCCTCCTGGTACGCTGCTGGAAAACTAGCTGGCAGCAGAGTGCGATGTAAACATCTGAGCTGGTGGTGGTGGTGGTGAACCACAGCAAAGCTAAAAAAATAACACCAAAAAATAGTGCTGTGGCGTGCTTCTCAAAACTGAGATGCAACTGTTCTTACGTCTTAAAAAGATCAACAATTAAGGAACTACAATTAAGTGGATTGTCAGTCTACATGAGGATGATGCTGGATTGTTGACTGCATTTGATTGAAACACTAAATGAAAGTAAAAGGCTGGCATCGTTCATCTGGATTTTCTCCGTCATCTTTGCACAAAATATATACAGTAAGAGAAAGAGGCGGAGAGGGTTAGTGAGGGAATGTAGAAATGCATTTGGCGGCATGTGTTGTCCACAGTGGGCTGGTCCTTAAGACGGCATGTACGGCGGGGGAGGGTCCTTGTCAGGCATGTTTACTGCCATCTCGTAGGTGGGCAGATCCGACTGCGTGAGACAGGGAAGAAGAAAGGCAATTACAGGTGTGGACAAAGCCCAAGTTAGTTATTCCATTTGCTGACTACTGAAATCACTGGTGTAAAAGTCAAGGTCTACTTCTTTTGCCTTTTTGTTCATCCACCCAATACCTGAACGAAATCGATCGTTGTACAGTAGCTCAAACATTTGTGTGCAACAAGGGTGTGTTGACTTACGTTATCCATTGTATGTATGTTGCGACTTTTGGCTTGTCTCATCAGTGGTTGACAAAGCAAGTCACTTTGACACTGATGCTACCTACCCATTTTCGAATCGAACCTGAGCCGTCTGCACAAAAGGTAGCATCATGTACAACTAAACTACCAGTGCTGTATTTGTTTTTTACAATCATGACAGGCTTCCTAGAGAAAGCGGGTAAATATTATTAGTACATTTTCACACTTAGGATGCTCCCGCATACAGTAGGAGTGCATGAGTGTGGTTGGCATGACCCCTGCTGGTGCCTGCCGTATATGACACATAACACAGGCTTTAATGTGCACTTCATTACTGCACTTATCTACTAAGAGCTGTTAACAAAAATGCTTTTCTATTTTGACGTGGTTATGAGAAAGGTCAAATTAGTATTTGTCTTCCTAAGCATGCTCACAAACCTGGGGCTGATTCTCAAAGGAGAGGAAGACAGAGACATCCGGTTTGTTCCTGTTATTGATGTACTTGTAGCAGTTCCACACGCAGTTCATCAAATATGCCTGCAAAAAAACAAACAAAAAAAAAAAGCATAAACGAGACTTCGATCATCCAACTAAATACCCATCCCAATAAGGCTTACGTTAACAGCTATAGTAAAATGGAGGCAGTTTTACCTTGAGGACAATGAGGAAGGTAAAGAGGACTAGCACGAAGAAAAACAGGAACCGCGGGTCTAGGGACAGGAGGTTATCCTTATACGGGAAATCCGGCTGAGGAAAGAGAGTTGGAAAATCAATTCGGTTAAAAGGTCCACACTCATACTAGTCATATTTCCACGTAAAGGACAAAAGTGGACCAGTTGAGTCATTTGTGTTATGCAATCATGTCATTGTTTATCAACTGAAAGATAGATGAGTACCATGAACTCAAGCAAACTAAGAACCTCATTTTTATTCAAAAATGGCCTCTCAATGGTGTGTCGTTAATCAAGCAGTGGCAACAAAGTCAATGTGCTGAGTCCCATCCATCAGCTTGTGGACTAACCAGCTGGTCCAGGTACTCCTGTATCCTAGGCAGATAGGTGAGAGAGCTGCAGGCCACGAGGCAGCTTAAAGCAAAGTCGAACATCTGGTAGCAGAAGAACGGGATGAGCAGACCACTGCGATGCTAGAGACAAAACAAACAAAAAAAAACAACAAAAACAAACAGGCATTAATTAATAGCATTGTGGATGGAGACATTCTTGTGGAAAGCCAGATATAATAAATGGAGAAGGAAAAAAAAAAAACATTGTTCTTGCGAAAGTTTTCAGGCAGGCTAAATAAATGTGCACTTACAGTAATGGCACCATACAGCAACATAGCACTGATAGTGACCATGAATAGAGAGATGGCCAATCCAGCACCGGCATTACCTGGTTGAATAGAAGAGAAAGACTATTTTGGTACATGTTTAATAGTGTTTACCAACTTTTATTGAGCATTGGCACATAATATACATAAAAAATATATCACAAAAAGTGGATGCACTTAATTATTCTGTTTGTCACTAGACATAACTGGCTAAGAAAGATTACTAGAGACACCTGTGGTAAATGCTGTCTTCCCCAAAAATCTTAACCTATTGCATACCCAATGAAGACTCCACTTAGCATAATTTAACATACCTGACATCCTGTCGGATGTTAAGTAATGGTCAATAACTGCATACTGTAAGTTGACAGAGGGAACGCTTTCTGGATGGGTCGCTGCAACTGTTAGCAGGATTCCCATCAACAAATTGATTACCTGTGGGGGAGGAATACAAACCAGCATTGATAATGCATTTTTTTAGGAACCTATCTAGTCAACCTGCGCACATTTTCCTTTCACAATGAGGTGAGTATTTTTTTAGAACATAAAAGACTCACCTTCCATCCTTAAAAAATAAATGACAGACTAATAATTCATGCAAATGTAACAAAGACTCCACTAACAACCCAGGCCAATCGTAGCTCCTCCCTGACATACAATGTTGATCTTTCTGTCAATATGTATCACTTTTCTGTCTTTATTGTTCTATTGCTCTAGTTATGTGTTTGCTACATTTTCGGTACAGTAACTGTGATATCAAAACGGTTTGTTCAGCTCGCTGGCTGTGTCGCTAACCGACCTACATATCATTTGTTTCGACATCAGCCGTTACCCTTGTGCGATGGCTATGGAGTTGTTCTTGTCAATACGTTTGCGCATCATGTTTTCATTTTTTTCACTGCGTGAATAAAAAATAAATAACTAAAACGTACGTTTACATTGGGAAACTAGCTTGCTAAGGTTAGCATTTGGTGCTAACATGACATTCATCCACCGTTTGGAATTCAAGGCCATTTTCGGAGCAACAACAGATCAAGGATCGACGTATTTTCACTTAAAATCTGTTACAATGCCAACACATATGACACAAATCGTTTCGAGCATTAGTTTTCAACCAATCCAAATCGATGCTATAACGTACCATGTACCATGTTCCGAGGATGATCGTCCCCGTCCGGACATGGCAACATCCGCAGCACCTGGTGCTGTACAGTTTGTCTCGACTGAGTTTAAAGTGCTGCATTCCCCTCCCCCAAAGTATCGCTCAAGAGTCCGCAAATATATGTATGTATAAAAAAATATATATTGTACAATGAAGCAGGGAAAAACGCCTCCCCTTGACAGGGTGCACTTCCACGTCTCTCTGGATGAAAACAAACACCCGGAAAGGGAAGCAAGTATGGCGCGTCAGGAAGGTCAAAAACTATTGCGGTCAACTAGCCCATTGTTGTCAAACGCTTTATTGCCACAGCGTTTGTCAATTCACCAGCGAGTTGCAAAAGCCCGATAACTGTCCTGATCGTTCGAATCAGGTCTGCAGAATACGGACTCTCGAAGACCGGAGTTGGTGATCCCTTGGCGTAGAATGTGCAACAAGATGGGTGAACAAAACGGGACCTCCATTGTTTTTAATGCCAACGTGAAGGGAGCGCTTCTTGCATTTTAATGAGAACATATTTTGTATGATGATGATTGTTATTGTAAAATTATAAATATTTTGGTTGTAGTCCATGTTCATGTTCAATTTTATGAACAGAGCTTTGTTACAACTGCAGTTGTTGAAGTTCCTGTATAAATATTGAGAAAGTAGGTGCAGTAGTTAAGGCACGTTATATCGTTCAGAAGGTTTACAAGCAGGGGGCAGCATCACAGAGGATGTAAAAAAAAAAAAATTCAAGACACGATGACGCCTTGATTTTTCCTCGAAAGTCGCTCGGTGATGGAAACATTTGTTTTCAGTAATGTGCTTTAACATTTTTAACCTAATTTACCAAATAGTTCCGAAAATAATATCAGAAAACGGCCAATACTTCTTCATCCATGATGACTATTTTTATTGCTCCACAAAAACATATTTTCATAGAAATACAAATAGTTACGCTTAACTGTAAAGGCAATAAAGATAAACGGACACTCATCCAAATAAATACCGTGCTGATATTATCATAGACAAGATGAGATGATCAAAGAATTGGGAAAGTTAAACTTCCGAGTGAGACACGAACGCAACACAGGCACCCTAATGGAGCGTGAATGAGAAGCCGAGCTTGTTTATTTAGCTGATCCAGCTACCATGCTTATAGTCGTGCGGACGCTATGTTTGCCAAATTGATACCAATTAAGACCTTAGACAAACTGGTGCAACGTAAAACTAAATGCCCTGTGTTCGTAATTTTGAACGATATTCCTAAATGAGCTCAACTGGCTGCAAAGAAGAAGAGGCCTTTGAATCCGCGGTGTTTGGGTGAGCCACAACCCTGGGATTAGGGTGATATCAACGTGCAGACGCGTTGGATCATTGTGTAGCCTGAGAGACCAGCTTGTCCGTTACACCTACGGTCGCGGGCTAACCATGTCACACACGGGACCCCCTCCCCGATGGCGGAATTGTCCCAAGAGAGGACAACCAGTGGCGGGTGAGACAGTCGAGTTCCAATTGCACTTATTAGCGTCATTTGCATGACATTACATTTAGCTTACTCGTCATGTAGCATTATTAATTTCTGTTATAATCTGCTATTCGCAAGATTATACACGTGTCTTCCGTCTCAGAACACTACGATTACATTTTCATCCATTATAAAAATATTATAATAAAATTGTTCCAACTGCACTTGCTGTCCCCTGTCATTGCATGTTAGCATCACAATATGCTAACATTAGCCAGTAGTGTTGCGTTTGTAAAAATGGGAGTTTTGAAGAGTTGCTGTAAGGCACACTAAATTTCGTTTTTGTCCAAACGATGCTTATTTATTCAACTTAAGTTCATAACGTTGCTGTTTGTGTTTCACCGTTTTATTAATGGCTTTCAAAAGTGTAGTTGCTATGAGGTTGCAGGGTTGTTAATCTATCACGTGTCAAAACAAACCGAGTCTACGCATGCGCACAGTGTGCATTAGAGGGAGTGTGTTCGAAATACTTGGTGCAAAAAACAACAACAAAAATCAAATTGGAAGCAGTATAGTTTAGTAGAAGCCATGTGAAGTAATAGGAATAGAATTAATCAGCCAAACCTTTTTAACTGTACAGGAACTGTTCCCACATTCTTCACAATATCAAACGCTGTCCCTTAAAATCCATACGATGAGTACAGCGTAAGGTTCTACAATATGCTTCTACAATATTTGAACAATAATGTTTTCTGTGTTTACATCAAATTTCTGTCGAGATGGCCTGATCTTCATATGAATTGCAGGTGAGCTGGTGCCCTGGACTGGTTGCCAGGAGGGCCTGTGAGGCAGATGTGCTAACCAGTTTCCACCATCCTGCTCTTTTGTATTTGCTAGGTAAATTCCTGCCTATGAAAACTATGCTGGGTCCCAGATATGATGACCAAGTTGCGGAGGAGAACCGATTTTACCCAAACATGCTGTCTAACTACTTGAAGAGTTTAAATGTAAGGAACCTTTGAATCACCACAGTTTGTCTGTCGTATTCACAACAAAGCATCATTTAACATTTTTGTTGTTGTCACTCCTTAGGTGAAAATGGGTTTACTTGTGGATTTGACAAACACGACTCGCTTTTACGACCGCAATGACATAGAAAAGGAAGGGATCAAATATGTTAAGCTACAGTGTAAAGGGTATGTGAAGATCATGACGTTTGTTTGAATTGCTGTTTGTCTATTAGTGCTCAGGAATTGGGTAATGAACAGTCCAGGATCAGATAGAAAGAGCCCAGCTCTGGTGGCAGATTATTAATTCTGCAGCATCGAAATCTTACCTCCTTCCTTTCCCCCCAGTCATGGAGAATGTCCTTCTAAGGAGACGACTGCTATGTTCATCCGATTCTGTGAACACTTCATGGAGAAAAATTCTGCAGACCTAATAGGTGAGGAGCCAATCTCTTTAATTTTTTTCTCTGCAGCAGCGGAGTTTGAAATACTCCCTCTGGGGTTTGTATTGTGATTTTGGAAATACAGCCTGACAGAACAAGGTTTGTGTGGGGACTGACAGAGAGAAAAAAAAAAAAAACAGATTGAAAAAAAAAAAAACTGACAACAACAAAGCAATTGCAGAATAACATGGTATGACTACCACAGATGTTCTTACCAGTGAAGGAAAGGTACACCTTGTGACGAATCGATGCAACGGATTACCGATAGTACAGTTCAGGTGAGGTATTATGAGCCAAATAGTTCCACACAGCGCCATAGACGATTTGTAGGATGGATAATCGAAAACATGGAGCTGACATGATCATCAGTGCTGTGAAAGTTTTACCTTCAGCCAATGGGGGGCTCTCTTTCTCTTCTTTGGAACACCAGTTAAGTCAACCACACCAGATAAAGTTGAACAAAAGCCTGTCTGGTTTGTACACAAACTGCTGTAACATAAGCTCACAGTGTGTGAGAGTGTGTCCAGTCTGTAGCCTCCTGGTCATTATGCTTGTTTTTTTTTTTCCCCCTCTGTGCCCAAATTAGACAGCTTGGCTTATAAATGTGATCCTCGGCACTTATGTCAGTTCCTCGATTTGAAAGTAAAGTGTGACGTTGTCAAACAAAGTTACTGTGCACGGGGAGTGTCAGTGCAGTTACACAAATAAAGATGGCCCTTTTGGGTACTCTCAACTAAAGAGGGTAATTCAATTTTAATATAGCTAGAAATGATTTCTTATTTACTGTAGATATGAATTTATTACTGAGTAGCATTATTGTTAATTAATCAATTCCTATTTGATTATTTTGCTGTTTCCCTGGTGTTCCACAGGTGTTCACTGCACGCATGGGTTCAATCGGACAGGCTTTTTGATATGTGCTTACCTGGTGGAGAAGATGGACTGGAGGTAAGGGTCGGGCCTCGCTCACCACAATTGGACTGCTAATGCGGTGTTCCCCTGCAATATCGCAGGTCATCCTTTGCGCCAGATTTTTAAGCCATCTTTTTAAGCCATATCATAGATATTCATCTATTGTGGGTGGGCCTGATCAACGCGGATTCACTTTAGTTACAAGAAGATTGTTTGTGATTGGTTCCACCCACAATCTTGTTGCACAAGGTCTTCTGTGACAAGCTCAACCATACGGTGCTTTGCAATTCCTTTTCATCAGCCGGTAATCCAGTTCTTCTCTCGATTGTTACCGTGTGTCAAAGACGTCACTATCAATCAACACAGGCAGTGCAAAGCTGACCAGTTAGCAGAGCTTATTGCTCTCATGCCAGATATGGTTCATGCATTACAGTGACTGATGGCGGTGGGTGGGATGCGATTCCAGGGGTCTTTAGACAGAGGTGGGGCAGTTCGTCTGGGAGGACATGAATGCCTGGAAGCTGCTGTAGACATGTAGGCTGATTAAACCCTCCCACCACCCACTACTTCCTGTGTAATGAATATTCCCAAAGCATTAGGCTCATCCTGTGTGGAGCAAGATAATGCGGCTATCAGATGAAATCCCTGCATGCTGATTCCCCCCCGCCCCTTTATGTAATCTCTAAGTATTTATAAGTAGTCGTAATGACTAAATCATCCATGAAATTAACTGATCATAAACTTTTATCGAAACATTTTTATTCTTTATTTTTTTTAGATTTGTAGAACACTCTTTTTGAGATGGCCTCGATGAACTTTTGGCTACATAGACATATGCAGTATTATAAACGTTGCAAAAACAATGCAATAAATTGTGGTTGACTTTTATATTAGACAGTCACAATACAGGATCAATCCTGCGACATAGTCTATTATGTACTCTAATGCAGCAGTAAACACATAATTGCATTAGAGCTTAGAGGACTTGCTTGATGTTTTGAACAGGAGAGGGGTAAAAATTCCACCGGGTTCATCTCATGGGCACCCTCCATCCTCAATGTTTTCCATGATTAAGGCCCACGATGTCTTTGCGGGACTCGCGGGTATGCTGTTTTTCACCCTCACCAGTTATCTCGCGGGCCAGTTAAAGTCCTCAATTGCTGCATTGTTGCGCAACATTTGAATGTGACTGCTGTTTGTTGAACGGTCTGTTTTTTCGAGCCCGTTCTCTTCAGGAGCCTGGTTATGGCTGCTTTGGTCTGCCTGAGCTGCATTTTAAGTGCACTGAGGGCGTTTCCGCTCATATGCTTCTTCAGTAGCAGCTTGCCGTGGTACTGTCAGTTCTAGGATGCTCAAATGGTTCTGAGCAGTTGGCCACAGGATGAGGTCAGGCAAGAGAATATTTATTTCTATCTCTGGTGGAAAATCAAATTTGTAGTCCAGGTCGACGCGTATTTTCCAGTCACCAGTCTGGTCGAGGAAGGTCATATTCGCTCTTGGCAGTTGTTTTGACCGGAACTTCACCTGCTTTCACAAAGGAAATTTTACTTCGTAGTCTATGCCTCACTGGAGGGAGGCATTGGTGGTTCCTTGCTTCTAAGGTGATTAGCGACTGTTTCAAGACATGCCTCCAAGCATAACAGCCTTGGGCCGGATTGGTTTTGCACCTGGTAAGGGAACGTTTCAAGTTTACAGGGGTTTGGCGGAGAGCACAAGTTGGGAGGGCCACATTAGACAGGGGAGCAGTCAACTGCAGGAACAGCAGTTTGTGCTTAGCAGGAAACGCCTGTGATGGTGAAGCCTGAATCTGTTATGGCTCATATTTAGTGTGGTTCATCCTTGTGTGTGGCTGGCTCGATGCCGCAGCGCAAACCACTGATTGTGAGCCATTCATCATGAACCCCGTATTCTTATAGATTGTAAGGTACGTACTTGCTCAGCATAATAAAGTGCTCCACAGCAAACCACAGAGGTTGTTACATTTATACATCAAGACCGAATAATAAATTTGTGAAGCGAAAGTATTCGATACAGCACTTGTGATTGTGCAGCATCTGGTCAGTGTGCAACTTCTAATCCTGCCTATGTTTACTCTTATCAGCGTGGAAGCAGCCGTAGCAGCTTTTGCCCAAGCCCGGGCCCCTGGGATCTACAAGGGCGACTACCTCAAAGAGCTTTTCCGTCGCTATGGGGATGAGGAGGATGCGCCTGCTGCCCCCACGCTGCCAGAGTGGTGCTTTGAGGATGACGGTGGAGAAGTGGACGATGATGGCAACGCAGTTAACCAGGAGTCCGGGCCCAGCTCGTCCGGGTCAACGCTTGGCAAGCGAAAGAAAGAGAAGCTCAAATTGGTAGGACTCGTGTGCACTTATAAACGGAAGCCGCATTCCAGTCGATGGATGCTCTTTGGCAGTGTTGCCTCAACGCATTTTACAATCGGCTTGTCTGCTTTTAATCCTGAAAAAAGGAAGCGCTGAATCATCTCAAGTTGCATACAGCATTGATTCAATTCCTCCATCAACATTAACCTGATTCCCTCACTTGCACTTCTGAGATGGGAGTAGTTACCAGTGTAAGTAGTAAAAATAACACGATTAAAAGACTTCAAGACAATCGCTTGGATAGAAAATTATCCACAAAAGCAAAGGGTAAATCCTTAAGTGCACTGAGAGCCCGTGTCAAGGCAAATTCAATTTCTCTGCCTGTGATGGGCTACAGCATCGCGTTGTGGAGGGACCAAGTTGGCAGGCAGAGCTGCAGCTCGCACCACTGCATTACTCCAGCATCGTTAAGGACTGAAATCTCTTGGTTGTGGTTGAGTGGCCCTCTCAAGGTTACTAACGCTGCTTGGTGGCCAATTGGCTCACAAAGATCCAAAGTAGTGGGTGCTAAATTGTGTGTTTGTGCAAACAGATTGCATGATATGGGCAGACGTGTGCAGCTACTAAGATGACGATCCTTTACCAAGATCCCAAATAACAGGTGCTAAATTGCACGCTCCATCACTCCAACAGGTTGCACGCCCCGTTGGCAAATGGCGTTGGCAAGTGGAGGAGAATGCTACTCTTTAGGTGGATCTGGTTTTCACCATGAAGCATTTGGCAAAACACAACAGCACAAAATTTCAGTTTGAAGTGACAGAATTGTAATCTTCGTGGAAGACAAAACAAATGTATTACTGACAGAAAATTCTTGCTTTTTTGCACGTCTTTCAGGCACGATTTTTAAAGATGCAAAATTGGCCATCTCAATTTCTGTCAGGTTTGCTAAATCCTGAATAGATTTGCATTTGCCTCCCACATCAAAATAAATTCAGATTCTTCTATTAAGATGACATTTATTTTGAGTATACTGTATAAACTCAACATCGAAACGACTGTATCGAGATTTGAACCCGCATCCTTTTATGCTGTGAGGAAGGCTTGCGAACCGCGCGCAACACTTCATTAATATTCTGAAACAAGCATACCGAATTTCTTCAGGTAATGGAAAGAGAGGATCTTGACGCAGAGGAGCAGGTTTATTAAGTTGAATGAATACATAATTCATGGAGCGGTGGAGTGATATGGAGAGGTCAAATCAAAAAATAGCTGGATTAATGATGTTTACCAGTTGCTCGTTAACCCCGCTAAGAACCACTGTTTTGCAAGCGTTTCAGCTGCGTGAAAAAGTGTCTCACCTATATGGTGTAGGGGGGAAGTGTTGTTTTTCTGACTTCCAACGCAGGTGTCTTTCATTGTGGCTCCCAGGGGGCAGTCTTCCTCGAAGGTGTCACGGTGAAAGGTGTCACACAGGTCACCACGCAGCCCAAACTTGGCGAGGTCCAAAGAATGTGTCAGGAGATGGCCGAGTGGAACAAGTAAGTACGCTACCTTCTTTTCTGCTAATCCTTCCCCTCTGGGAAAAGGTGTGTGCATGCGTTTGCATATGTGGGCGTTTTGTGAGAGGCTCATTTCTCTTCAGTCACCGTAGTGTTATGATCCTGACTCTTTGAAACAGGCGAGAGAGTCAGGAATAGATTTTTTCGTATGAGGAAAATGCAGCTGCAGCTTTTTAACGAAACGGCTGAGAGTCAGCGCTGTCTTGACGAGGGAGAACAGTCAACATTATCTCCCATTTTCTGCTCTCTCAAAAGTTGTTCTACCTGTATGGATGTTGCTATATATATCGATACAAATGTACCGCAGTAATGGTAGTTTCCTCGTTTACCTGTGTTGGTCTACCTAGTTAACTTGAGAATGTAGCAAGTATAAAATAACACATATTTACATTTTATAACATCGATATAAATTGAGACATGTCATGAATTGAATCAACGCGGTATGTTCCTTTTGCGTGCAGGTCTGGTTTTCCTGGTGCTCAGCCTGTATCAATGGATCGACAAAACCTTTGTTTCCTGGAGCAGCACCCCTACAAAGTCAGCTGGAAAGCTGATGGGACACGGTGAGCCTTGATAATATCGCTTGATTTGGAACTACCTCAAAGTCTACCAGACCATGTTAAATTAATGTTTGCTTTGCTTGTGATTAGACCATCTCACCTTCAGCAGTCCTAATAGAAGCTTGGAAGCCTTGATCATAAAAAAATAAATAAAATAATAATAAAGAATTTAAATCAGAGCCTATTGAAGTTGTATTTTCAGAGGTGTTAAAATCAGCTTTGTTGCCATTAGTGAAGCTGGTGTTGATGCGATTTGTGTTTAATTACTGGCCTTCATATAGCTAACCAACCTGGTATATTTGTTGTCGAACCTAAGATAACATGGAAACTCCTAATCTGATATTTGTGAACCGAGGACTTGTTCACAAAAAAAAAAAAATTAAAAAAACCCAAAAAAAACAAGAATATCTCATTAAATCAGAGAGCAACCTAACCGGCTGAATACAGATATGAGTCATAGCTCAGCAGTTGCACATACAGTGACATAAAAAGTCGACACACCTGCCTAAGTGGACAAGTCAGCCAGTTCGATTACAAACCACTTGGACCATTTTGTGAAAACATGGCATGACAGAGAAGTCTTGCACATGGTAATGATGAGCCCAGCTCTTAGATCCTGGCCCTCAACCGGTGCTCATCTGTCTGTTTTATGCCACCGGATTTGACCAGGGAAAAAGATGACACAATGGTAGTCCTGTCTTCATTAGTGCTAAAGTGCTTTGGGATTGGGCCTCGCGTATATGGTTAAGATTGAAGAGGCAGGAGCAAAAAAAAAAAAAAAAATATATATATATATATATATGCATATATTAAACCGACATATCAGTTTGAATATTTTCACGATTGCTCATGCAATACATGTTACTAATAGCGCTCGAGACAGATTGATGTGGAAATGGTGAAAGCGTAATGAAGCGGACCACTAGGAGTTACAAGGGATTAATGGTCCCCCGCTGCAGTCTTCTGAGTGTGGCAGGGTTAGCTCCGGCTAACTAGCCCAATTAAATAACAGAGGAGCGGCTTCTGCTCACTGCATACCTATTTGCCATTCTACCAGATACTCGAAATGATCCGTTTGATACGCTCAGACAGCGATCCTTTTTTTTAAGAACTCGTTGCACTCGAATGCCCTTTTGTCTGCGTGCACGCTTAATTGTCAGAAGTTTTCAAACATTTGCTTTTCCCCCCTCTTCCCGAGCGCAGTCTGCATAGTGTTTTTATCTTTTAGGTGTTTTGATCGTGTTTCTACTCCCACCTCAAGCACCTTTTTAAAAAGTGCAACTATATCCGGCCCACGCTCCTGAGACGCCGTCGTTTCTTTACCCTCCTACATTTTTTGTTTATCTCTGCTGTTTCCAGAAGACTTTTGGACAGGCCTTGATATGCATTGCCTCTCTCCGTGACCTTTTAACTGAACATGTTGTTCAGAGGTAATCCAAGCTCTCATTGGCAAGTTTTCACTATAAGTAATTGACCAATTAAAACGCCCTTCTATCTCACCACAGTCGTGGAGGGCCATCAAAGCATCCTCAAATGTTTGTTGACATCCTTGGGCCATCATTTGTGTTTGGCGACGTGTCTGCTCCGCTGCATGCTCCTCATGCACGGATGCGCCACTAATTGAGTGCGCCATTTGACGGCTTGGTGATGGAGTGCTGCCTCCAGGAGTGAAATTCCTCTCATTAGGGCCGTTCTCTTTGGACTCTCGCTGCTTGAGAATAAGTAGCTACTTGCCGAGTCGCAACGCTCCAGCGCTGCCTTCGGTTGTCAAGGTAACGCAAACTAGACTCGACATTGGCCCTCCTGCTGTAGTGGTGCGGGGGGGAAAAAAATCTTTATAAATGTAATAAAGCCGTTTCGAATTTTGAATTAAGTTATTGGGATCCAAGAGTAAAAATCATTTGTAATGCATTGCAGTGAATGTGCTAATCAATTGATAACAATGCTTAGAAGAGCAGAATAACTAAATACAATTTTTTTTTTTTTTTGCTCCTTTTGTAGAAGATATTTTTGGTCAGATCATTAATGAAAATATATGTCTTGTACATCATTCAAATCATATTAAATTGCTCATCTGGTATGGCATTTGATGCCGGCTGATCCTTGGCAGCTTGTCAAATTTCCCACTTTGAACCAGCTGGTATTGACGGGATATTTATCACATCTAATCCTTTGGTGGAAATGATAAGGAGGCACAGCAGATCTGAGAGATCCATATCATCACCGGAGATGTCATCTTGAATCCATCTCTCTTACGTGACCTTTTTTTCCGAAGGGAGCGTGTTCTGACAACCTGTATTTTCTCTTGGCTGTCAATAAATTGTCTTATATGCCCACGTGCAGTTTTCATGTCACAAATCCCCTTAAATGCTTCATACACAAAGTAATTAGTCTCTATTTTAGAGCGCACTGGTTGTAGTACTTAACCTTTGAAAAATATTGCGTCACGGTTGCTTGTTCTGCTTTATAGTTAATCCTGCTTTACTTACTGCGTGGGGTTTTCTTTTGCTGAAGAGCGGCAGACGGTCTTGGAATGCTAATGCAGTTTTGAAGAGGTGTGCAATGGAGCCACCGTATTGTTTGAACATTTAAGAGACATTTTAAAGTTAACTCGGGTCCACCAGGACGCTGTTCTTTCTCGCCTTCAGGATTCAAATCCGAGCAAATTGGCAGGTAGACAACCGGAATGCAAAGTCATTTCAAGTAATTATTGCTGCAATATTTAATCATTTATACGTCAGAAAAGGCGCGTGTCAAAACTGAATGCTGTTGTTTGCGTTCTGGATTCTGTTGAAACAAGATTGATATTCTGTTGATTCTCAGCTGTGAGCCCGTCATGTTTTCAGGGTCCACTATTTGAAAATCTATTCAAATGTAATACAAGCACTACATATATAATTACTATTCCTGAATATTTTTGTTGCTAAAGAACCTCTGCTCCACACCACAGCCCATTCATCAGTAATATACTGAAAGTGAGTGGGATGAATATTTACCCTGCAAGTCAATTTACAGTGTGCACCCTTAAATCTTCTACTTGCACAACTAACATTTCAGGCTTGAGGCCACAGCGTGCCTAGTAAAAAATAAATAAATTGTATTCCGTAGCCCTTGCCACAACCATTTCATTAAGCCGACCAGAACATTAGGTTGCTGTCTGAACTGATTGGAACAGGGCTCTAATTAATGTTATTAGTCATACTTGTGTGGATGTGTTTACGACGACAGCTTTGTCTTATTATATACCTGTTCTTTTCTTGGCAGGACCGACATTTGAGTTGAGCAACTTTGTGGCTGTTTGCGCTCTATTTTAAATAGTCCCGACAAATGTTGGGACTCCATTTAGATTGCCATCTTGGGAGCATGGCCTGAAAACGGCCATTCTGCCATTCCTGTGTTGCAAATCACTTAATACAGCGTGTCAGCGAAGCCTTAAGTTCTGAATTGATGTCTTCCAAAATGAAAGCCTTTGTTATCCTCCCCAATGACACCTAATGCTTAAATCCACTGTTTCATGATCCACAACCAAAACAAACATGACCACCTTTTCTTTGTAAATCTTTGTGAAGAATTTGAATCATTCAAGCCTCTGTGTGCTTTCATTTGCAAACAGGATGTGATGTAAAATCGTGATTATCCCGTGCAATGTCAGCTAACGGATGGTCCACTCTCCTCCCAACAGGTACATGATGGTGATCAATGGGAAACATGAAGTATTCATGATTGACAGAGACAACACGGTCTTCCACATAGCCAATTTAGAGTTTCCTTTCCGGAAAGATCCACGCGTCCATCTAGCAAATACTCTTTTGGACGGGGTAAGTTTTCTTTGGCATCATATTTACAGTCTTTGTCCGAACTGTAGTTCACACAGTGTCATCGCCTGCATGGACTGGAACTGCAGCATCACTAACCTCCGTAACCTCACCATCCTATCCCTGCTGTTCAGTCTTGTGGATAATTGATGTGGGATTCCAAAACCTCAGGCCAAAGACGTTGCAGTCTGGCAGTTGAGCCCCCTCACACATATAGATGACACGGAAATCATCCTTCCATGTCCTGGGGAAATGGCTAATGGAAGTTTTTCTGCCACCCGATTCCTTTTTCTGTTGTGCTCGGCGTTGCTGCCTCGGAACGCTTGGCAGTGAATGATCTGAGGCGTGACCTCAGCCTACAATACCAAGCTTTCCTCTGAGGCATTTTTGGGCACTGATTACTGTTGGGCGTGAGCTTTACAAATTGAGTGATCAATTTTTAATTTTTAATGATTGATAATTGTGCTACGCATATGGAAATGATTGATGTAACGGTCGATTCAACGAGGTGTTGTTGAATAGCTGCTACTGGCTTGATGATGGAGCACTTTTCGACTCGATTACTCAACCTCACGTCAATCAAACGCTGCTTTTGAAACATCCAAATGTGCACCGTGTCTTTGGGAATGTTAAGTGGGATTGACTCCGTGATTGGGCTCTTTTTGTCTGAGGCAAAAACGATATGAAAATGATTCCTCTCACGTTGTCTGTTTCTTGGCAAGAGTTTTCCCTTCTGTGTTCTTCCAAGTCACGTACAGAGCAACATTTGCTGCTGCTGTCTTCATTTCAAGTGCTGAAATAAAAACGAGTCACGCTGTTCCCCTTTTGGTTGCAGCGAAAACATGCTGTACTTAAAGAGCGGACTGTTTTTAGCTCATTGTCTGACGCCGCAAGCCCCGACTAATACCAAATTACTGACACAACTGTGCCTCTTTTGGAACGCTCCAGTTTGCTTCAATTTCATCAGTGCAAACAGTTTGCTATAACAAAGACGCATTTCGTCTTCTAAAGCCACGAAGAATATTTAAAAAAAGCCTGCCTCACTCAAAAACTCAATTATATTGATGAATTATTATCAGTGCTGTGAACCGCTGCATGTTTTGCAGGGCAGCATGTCTAGATTTGCATATTCCCCATTTAATTTTTTTTTTTGAACTTATTCAGTTTTTATGCTCAGGCCTTGGTGCTAAGGAAGTGCTGAATTGAGGAGGTTAATTTAGAAAAAAGTAGTCCTTTGGTGCCATCTTGTAGCATCTATAGACAATTACAGTGCAGTATAAGTAGTTCGCAGTATTGTCACGATATGGCGAAAACAAACCAAAATAGATACATGTACTAAAAGCTTTGCAACATCTTTTCAATACCAAAACCAACAATCAGCCAACACTTTTTGCAAATTAGAAATTTGGCATAGCAACACCCAAAATGACTTGTCATGAATGTCAGGTTGCCGTGCTTGTGATCACGAAGATGACCTTTGAGATTTGATGCTGACCATTTTCCTGCATTCTCTGCACACCGGGTAATTTCAGTCTTATTAAAAACTGGCGCACACACAAACACACACACCGACAGACTTGGCCTCGTTCTCTTTGCAGGTGCAAAAATATCACGGTGTTCTTTTTACTATCTGCAGTGCTAAAAACAGTTGTCACAATGATTGCAATTTGAAATATTTCTCAATGTTTGAAATTGTACCTCCGTTTATGGATAACATCTAAAGTATCTTTCGGCTGACTACTTTACTCTGTTTTGTCAATGTTATCAATTTCTTAAATGTAGTCTGTGTATAATTCTGCACCCTGTAGTAAGATGTAACGCTTGCATTTTTCTGTTCAAATGTCCGCATGTCTGTTACGTCCCTCGATCCCAGGTTTGGTTGTGCGTTGAGATTGCTATAAGAACTTGTTTTGCCCTTGTGTATTTCTCTCTGTGTATGCTTCTGGCTCTAGGTTCTCGGAGAGAGGATGTGTTTTTCTATTTATAGGGAGCCATGTTCAAGTCCTGCTATGTTCTCTGATTAGTTTCATCTTTCGCCCGTAGGCGTTGGTCTTTGTTTATTCTCTTGTTGTCGTGGCGTTACCTCCCTTATTCCAATTTCATAACTGGATGGCAACATAATGGCAGCTTCCGTTGGTCACACTCGTGTATTCGCCCGCGGCTGTCGTCCTGGGTGATGGTTCATTGAGCGAGATGCTTAGCGATGGCACCCTCGTGCAATGGCGTCATTTCTCACTTCCCCAGCCACACCTACAAATCACGTCACAAAGCACAGATGCCATTCATTCGCCTCTGCGCTGCCAAGCAGCTGCCGGTTGAGACGTATAATCCCAGGAAGGTTGGACACGACGAATCAGTCTTTACATTTCTAATCACGTCTGAAGAAGCAGACACCTACACACGTGGAAAAACAATGTTGGCACCCCTCGTAATGAAAAAAAACCAACAATCGTCAACTGAAATAACTTGGAACTGATGAGATGATCATTTGCTTGAATGCATCTTGACAAAAGGTCACCAACAATTTGCTGTGTGCATATAAAAAGAGGAACACTGCGAAACAAACAGCATGCGGCACAGGGTGCCTCGAACCCTGTGCTGGTTCTCTGCGAGCAAACAACATTTTTTTCATTTATGCTTTATAGATTTTGTCAGGTTCAAATTATTTTAGTGGTAATCGATAATGTTGATTTTTTTTTCTTTCCTGAACAGAGAGCTACTAACAATGTTGTTTATTCTCAAAAACAGTGTTAAAAGAACATGACATTTCTACTGAGAGAATTTAATTGCACAGTTTTATCTACTGCACCTTCTGTGGTATACTTCCCTCTAAGAAAGGGTGAAGGAATATATTTTCAAAGGACTTCATTTGTCCTTTGCCCAGACCGCCGCGGGACCTATCATGTCAATTTTTTTTTTTTCCACCGAAATATATTGTCTGATTTAAACCCACAAACAAACACATTAATCCTCAATATTTGCTGTGAAATTATTCATGTGAGGCTCAGTTTTTGTCAGCAGTGGCAAGCTGACATTTTTTCTACCTGCTACAGTTTTTCATTGAAGTCTGCAACTTCAGAAAAAAAAAGAAAATAAGTTAGCAGCATGAATATTTTATAAGCTCGGAACAAGTCCCGTCCGTCAGTTCCTGCAAGTCCATCCTTGGTCATCGCGCTGTCGAGTCAGAGTTTTGAACACACCGGCGGTCTGTCTGCTCGGTGTCGTCCATCGCCGCTTCATCTGACTCTCATCTTGAGAGTCTTGCATAATTGATACTTCGTCCTATTTCCGTCCCACGGCCGTCTTTTCGTCCTTCCTTGCCGAGGCACACACACACCCAGTTCCTCGCGACATACCCTGCTAATTACCACGGGCCTGTCTGAATACTTACATACATCCCCATGAGGGACCCCACTCACTGTTCCCCATGGGCCCTCTGGCACACAGATGCTCTTTTAATTCTTTATATCAAGTATGTACATGCTCACTGTTTTCAGGAATGCACTCATCTATTTGTCACCGGACTCTTTTGTCTTTGTCATTGCAGGAGATGATCATTGACAAGGTGAATGGCCAGCCTGTCCCCCGCTACCTGATATATGACATCATCAAGTTCAATGTGAGTAGTCTTATGAGGAACTGTCATCTTTTCTCTGACGTCAATTTAGATGAGCCGTTGTTATGCAGCCATCCCACCAAATAGCTGCACCGGAGCCATGACAGAAGACAGAGAACACAGTAGAGTCTGGGTCTGACTGAGAAGCTTCAACACGGTTGCTTAATTAAATGTGTGGTGACATCGGGTGTCGTGCATGAAATCCACGTGTGACAGCAATCAGTGTCGGAAATATCAGCATGACGGCGCAGCTGCCGTCCCACCTCTGCGACAGTTGCGATCGACGGAATATTGTCTTGGAATATGCTGCGTCAATGCCGTTGACACGCACACTTGCACACGGAAAATGATATTTGCATTGACTGTGCTTTTGAAGCTGACTCCCGTTGCACAAGCGTCTCACGCATTTCATTTTCTTAACAAGCTTAATTGCCACTGAAGTGTAAAATCAGCACTGTGAAGACCAGTGCGGCATAGACATCCAAATTCAGAGACCTCATAGGTTCCGCTATAGCGTTCATAAAATATGCGGGACCATAAAACGGTCAGACGGGAGAAATAATCCGTCAGTGCAAGTTATAAGCACCACGGTCTATCGGAAGTTAGGTTTCTTGATTTAACTACCGAACAAGGATCTGGTTTAACAGACGGAATTGTAGTTCGATAAATTTGATTTTATATAGAATATAGAATTGCTTGCCATTTTCAAAAGTTATATGCCGAATACAATTCTTGGCTTGGCTTGTACGGCTTGAAAGTGCATTGACAAGAATGGTCTATGCTGGTCTCGTAACACAGAAAATGAAGCAATCACTTTGATTTCTTAGCGGCTTGGGGCAGAGGTGTTCATTTGAATAAGCTCTGCATTATTTGACGCAGTCCGCAGTCTGCCTGCTGGGTCTCAACTCCACACACTTTACCCTCTGTCAAACCACAGTCAACTTTTAAGTTTAGGCTTCTCACTTGACAACTTTGATCCATTTGAGTTCATTGTTTGTGCATAGCCGCAGCCAAATCCTAATGGAAACTTTCCATCAATACATACATCGCTCTTACCGTATTTGGCTTTGGCTATTCCCTCCTGAACTGAACTGACTGACGATATTACAGGGCTATGAACACACCTTCAGCGCTCTGCAAATGATTTCATCTTCCAGACTGATCTGTATTCTGCTAACATGCAGTCAGGCAAGCACAGAAACAAACACGCTTACAATGATCGACCTTAACCAAGCCACTGCTCCTTTCCGCATAGAAACCCGGTTAATTACCCGAAGGAAAGAGAAAGTGGAGAAGGTACAGCTTCGGCTGTTATTTTCGTCCGCCACCCCCCATTGGTCCATCGATCACCTCACAAGTGGCCGAATGAAGACACTGCTCTGACGGGAATGTCTTTTGTAAGATGTTGGGCAGTGGTTAGTAGCGCCGCAAGCTGCCGCTACAGCGCCGTTATATTGATCCGCGTTGGCCATTATTAGCCTCCTTCATTGTCTGCGGCGGATTGTCCCTTGGCGTCGAGGCCTCATCTTCAGTGGAGCAGAAGGAACATGAGACCACCTGCTAAGTCCGTGGCCTAATGTAAGACTCGAGTTGTTTGCAACGTCAGGGCTCCCAGAGCCCCAGGATTCTTCGAATTACAACATAATTGTGAGTGCGTGCCCTCACGCTACCATCGGATCGTTTTGAGTTGCTCCTAAATTTCAAGAGCAATAAATGTTCCATCTTGCAAGAATTATGGATCTACTTTACCCATGAGGAGGTTATTTCCCACGGAGCTAAATGCAGTTTTCATTCAGCGGCATTTAGCTAGTAGGATATTGCCCGTTTTCATGTAAATAGCGCAAAGACGGGAAAAGTTAGGAGTCAGCAAATATAAAACAGCACTTGTCCTCAATTTATATTTTCCTACAACATGAAAGAACTCGTATGAAAGTAATCCAAAATAACATTGAGGCATATTCTTCATCTTCGCTTTTTATGTTTTTGTTCTGTAGAAACCTGAATCTCCTTTGAGGGATGTCAGTTTCAAATCCAATATGATTCATAAGTTGTCTCTCATACGATGCTGTACACAACATGTCTTCAAAATCTCTGCTCATGCACTTATTCACTGTTCAATACCACAAGGAAAAGCTGAGTTTCATTTCTGCTCTGCCAGTGAGAGTTCCCCGCAATAACAAAGACACTACGGGTCCTCATGGAGTATCGACGGGTTCAAGAAAATTGGCTTTGAAATGCCTGCAGAATAAATATCTTCGCTATGTGTCGCCGACCGATTTTAGTCTCCGCGATCGAATCTGCACATTACTCCCTTGACTCATTTGAGCCCATATTTCATCACCATTGCTAAATGCCATTCAGCCCGAAATACTGTGGACCCGACACTCAAAAGAACTTTGAACTGTTTTCCACGGGCGGAGTTGTTCTTTCCTTATTTTCAAGTTCTTACTTGTTGCGGCAGCCTGTCTTAGAAAAAGGCTTGTGCTCCTGCAGCACTCTGTGGTGTTTAACATTTAATGCGAGTTATATATAGAGATTCTTGATGGCTTCATGTAGGCCTACTCTGACTTTCACCATAATGGAAGTTACGTAACACTGAACTATATGAACGCTGGTGTTGTTATTGGTGTTGTTCCGATGCTGAGCTGTATGATTTTTGCTGTGACGTTATGTTCATCGCCCCAGAACCCCCCCCCCCCCCCCACATACGTTTGGAAGAATTGGAGTTTTTCTTTTGAAGACAAGACGTCCATCTTACCACCCCATCGCCCAGGCATGTGCAGGCGATGGGCGATTGTTGTCTAATGTGTTCACAATAGCCACTAATTGCCTAAAATTCCCCTGCAGCTCCTCCTTCAATGTCGCTGCCACCCTCTTGGCAACGTTGTCTGTTTTTTCATCAATTGAAGAAGGATGTCCAGTTGTTGGTAATGTCACTACTGTGTCATATTTTCTCCACTTGACGATTGTCTTCCTGTGTTCCATGCCATATTTATGTCATGCAAGACAAGGGGAGCTCTCATGCTGCGGTAGCTCGTAGCCGACTGTGGAATGCACTCTGAGATGTTTTACAATGTTGCAATACATCACATTGTTTGTGAGACATTTTTTTTTGTGTTTTTTAAGTACTTCATTCATTGGCTTTCGGGATGTGTTCCTTTTTCAGAATTATTCAAAGCAATCTTTCATCTCTGGAGGGTTTGATGAACAGTCTGCAGCGCTTTCAATTTTCTCAGGCGTGGATAGCACACGCCTTACACGCCTTGAATCATCCACACTTACATCTTGCACTGTCCCTCTGACACTTGCTGACAGATGGTGCCGAACGTGTGGGACACGATACCGGTTTTTCCGCTGTTGATGATTTGCCGTTTTCATGTTCATCATGCGAAAATGCACACCCTTCTACATCCATTTTTCAGGAAGAATATTTTGCTGTTGAAATGGGTCGCTTTTTCAGTCGCATCAAAAGCAGTCATCTTACTTCGTGTCTTGATACAGTCTTAAATAAATCTGAGAATAGCTCACCAGACAGCCCATCAAATTACAGTATTCTAATTTGGAAAAAAAAAAAGATTTGGCCACCCACCTTTTGCACAGTCAACACACATCGCTTTCTTCCTCCCCCTCTCCAATGATTACCTCAAAAGCTCTTGAGTACTGACCTTTCCTGCAGGTACCAAGCAGAATACTAATACAACCAAGACCCCACTGTCCTGCTTGCTTTGTCCTGATGCTCGAGTGTTGCTTTATTTCGATTGAGCTTTTTTTAATGTTCTTACTAAGAAGCGCTATGTAAAACCTGACACCTCGGTAATAGTTTATCTGGATGATCTTGGGGGGGGGGTGATATGACGCAGTTTTGAGGATCAAAAAGCAAAGGCACAATGTGAATGTGGGAAATGCTTCAAATTTCAAGATTTTAGTGGAGGAATGCAAAGACATGATGACACCGGGACCTTGTCAGGAAGTGTAGTACGTTTTCAGCCAGATGTAGAAGCAGTTAGATCTGAATTCTGCATGAAGGAAGAGCAGAAGTGATTATGGGTGTCCCTAGATTGGCAGCTGCATATTGAAACATGGCTGAATTATTGACAGCAGCTGGACAGGAGCATATTTAGATGGAATTACAATGCTCTGGATACGTTGAACGAAGCATATTGGGGTAATTGCAGAAATACAAGTTGTAAGCCATGTTATGTTTTCTTCAGGCACGACTTATTCAGGTCCCTGGGATCAACCTGCAAAAACTCCCTCCTCAAAATTCGTAATTTGATTCTCAAGTGAAGTCTTTTCTGAGCAAAATTGCTCCTCAAACATAAAACAAGTGCCGAGCAGTTAAAAAGGCAGGGATGGCTCAGATCTCTGAGGCTGGGCACGTCCCGCCATGTGTAGCCATTACTGCAAAGGAACGTGTTGTCATAGCAACCAAGCAAACTGGATTTCACTTGACTGTTTTATTGCTGTTTAACCGATTATATTTGATGTCAAGTTAACCCTTTGAGGAATTTCACCGCCCATGATTCAACAGCTTATTTATTTTTTGTGGTTCGCGTTGGCCAATACATTGTCAAGATGTTCCCGTTTCTTAATTTGATGTGACCCGCCGTCTTCTGTGCATTTGCTTCCCCGCATTTTTTTTCCATCTGAGACGGCTTGAGATTTAATTAATATGTGTGTGTTCCAGGGACAACCCGTGGGCCAGTGTGATTTCAATATCCGATTGTTATGCATCGAAAAAGAGATCATTTCTCCGCGGATGGAAAAGATGAAGACCGGACAGATTGACAAAACCAGGGAGCCCTTCAGTGTCCGAAATAAGCCGTTCTTCGATATTCAGGCATCACGCAAGGTAAATCATTCAGAATTTCTTCACAAGTTAACAATCAATGTGGCATTTCAATACATTTTGGTTTGGGAAAATATGGAGAGTCGTGCTGAAATTCAAAGATGCATCTAGGTGCTTGGGAGATAACGGGGTGAAAATCTTCCACTGCAAACAAAGTAGTGTTTCGACTTCGACCGTTTTAATAAAACATGAGCCTCACCACCTCGTGTACCTGAGGCGAAATTTCCTTTTATTTAGTTGTGAGAAAGCTGGAGGTGACTTTTCAATGATTAGCATCCAAGGACGAGGCCGAAGAGAGAGGTTTGTTCTGCCCTTGAGTACTAGCATATTGTTTTTCGTGTTAAAACAGGGAATTCTATTTCATCCAAAAAAGATATATTGTTCTTATTTTAGGTTAATTTTGACTTGCCGAAATACAGTGATGCCTTGAGATACGAGTGACCCGACTTATGAGTTTTTCGATACGCTGTCATTTTGGCGTGTTATTTTATTTGGATTTTTTTTCTTGAGATACGAGCGCTTTATCGTGGCAGGGAACTCGACTCACTTAACAATAATCGGTGCTTGGGGAAACTTGGAGCAGTACACAATAAAAAAAAAAAAAAAAAAAAAAAAGCACATTTATTAAAGAGAACAGTAAGTGTGAGCAAGAGACTTGAGCAGTGTGAAAACACAGAGGCAGAAAAGCCAGCGGGCAGTAGTCTGAAAGCATCCCTGGCCAAAAGCACTATTTATGGGTTTCTTTTATCACGTTCATTCATTTTGTCAAATAACTAATCTTCGCCATCTCGGTCTCAGTCCGGCTGTGCCTTTGGAAAAAGTCAGAGTACAGCTTTTATCCTGTAAAACGCGGTTCAGACACCTTCAAAGATGTACTTGTGCCATAACGTCAGGTCTTGGGGAGGTCAGCGCGCAATTTATTTGATGTTTTGCTCGAGCGTAGATCAATTGGAAACCTTGGCCTGGCGCTTACTTCCGCTAACGATCGGGGGTTTGTGGACGGGATGAGATTTTACAAGCGTCTCTTGCTGTGCCAACACTTGACAATTTAAACTTGGACCTACGGATAGTTTTGATATGTATATTGTAATGTGAAGCATCATATCCTTTCCCGACGATCCAAATATTGAAGTCACTGGATCGTCATCGGTTCTTTTGTGTTGGTCAGTGATCATCTGGCCCCCACACAGCCATATCTCTGTTGTATGGGATGTTAATGTAGGGCAACTGGTGTCTGGCTTTCATTCATAGGAGCACAATCCTCCACTTTATGATATGTTGACCGCAGATTCCTGTTGAGGGGAGGCAATTCAGTCACAGGCTGAAGTTGTGTGCTTGCCTTTGTCTGACGCTAGGTTGATGTGTTTCATGGCTGACACTTGGACATTAAAGTCCTCATTTCCCTTCCAAATGACTCCATTTATTCATTTTGCTTCCTCCGCACACCCAGTTGTACGGACCCGTTTGGCATGCGCCATTTCCACATTTGCACAGCCACGACATGTTTTTGGGGGCTTGAATGGAATTGGCTGAGAAAAAAACAGACAGGTAGCCACTGGAGAAATGTGAAAGCATCCCTGCAGTGAAAGGACCAGGTTGCGCTATTATTCATTTTGGTTTTTTTTTTCCTGCCATCCTTTGGTCCGCTTTTATCCTGAAAGAAAAGTGCCACTGTGGTCTTTGACATTAATTTCCGTCCGCCAAAGTCCTAATATGTTTTTTTTTTTTTTTCTGGTGACTGACTGTGAAAGCTCTCCATCACTTTTTCGAGTTTTGTGCCACTTTTTTCCCCTCCGGCGTACTGGTTTGGCTCAGATATTGAATGCGGACTGTCATGCTGCAGGCATTGAAACTGAGATTAACCAAATAGTAGGAATAGAAATTGTGATCCAAGTAGATATCGTGCCATGGAAGAAGGGGGCATTAGTTTAGCCCAGTTATTTATTTAATTTCCCTCCCCGAGAGTTTGTAGAAGCTTGATAGTCTTACTGCCTCTGTTGTTTGTTGCCGTGAAATGTGTAATACTCACTCACCATCTGGTCTGGTTGTACTCGCTTCCTGAACGGCGGCCTTGCCAGAAATTCTGATCGGCCCAAGTTTATTGTCTCGCTGTGCTACCGGCATCACTCGCATCCCATCTGTTGCAAGTCAGCTAATGCAAGGGCCATTATGGGGGTTTTATTTACAAAGAGTACTGTTCATGCCCATGTAATAAGGAGACTCTGCTGACAAATAGAAGTTGGGCGAAAACACACATTTGTTGCAGAATGAGAGTGATGATCCCCCCCCCAAAAAAACAAAAAACTGTGATATAAAATGCTCCATGTTTGGTATTGAGCCCTTTTAGTACCAGCTCGTCCCAGCAGCCCATGGGTGAAATATTGCGCACGATATCGATTAATGCTCTCTGGCATGTCTCGTTATCCGAGTCTGATCCGTCCGCAGCATCTTTGCGGCTCACTGACCTCACACTTCTGCTGTCAAGTCTTTTGCGCCCTGCAGATGAAAAAGTAAGACCTGTGGCAAGACCTTGCTCTCCTCGAACAAACACTCCTCTTCTCCAGAAATCAATTTTTGCACCCACTCACAGAAGGACATTGTGCACCAAATTAAGCTAGAACATAACATTTTGCATTCACTGGGGAGAAAAGGTGAATACTCCCCGTCTCATCAGCAGTAGCCGTTATACTTATCCAATATCCATTAGTGGTTTATTATTCCCATTGTGCGCATCACCCTGTTTGTCTTTCCTGCTCGGAAATTGGTCTGCAAGTCTTTATGTGCTGTATTTGTTTTTATTTTTTTTATTTATTTTTATTTTAGAACTTCATTCGATCAAATGCCTACCGACTTTTACAGAAAGCATAACGGTCATTTCCAAAATCAGCCTGCGCTTGAGTAACCCTGCCGTGACGTGGGCTTTTGATGGAACCGACAACGATGCACTGGATGTGCAGGGCCATTTACAATAAGCTTCAGAGCCTCTAGCAACAACGGCCCTGTAACTTGACTGGAATATCAATCTGATCCCTTCGCCTTTGAGTAACCCCCCCCCCCACACACACACACACACACACACACACACACACGAGTCTCCCCTGAGCAGAAGATGAACAGACAGCGCAAGGACACAACAACACAATGGACCCGAGGAATGGAAAGCGCATAGGCGTGTGTGCTTCTTGGGCACAGAAAACTTGCCTTTGTATACATCCTTGTTGGCATCCTGCATTTGTTTAAGCAGGAACAGATTTTATTTTTGAATGATGCTACTTTTGATTGGCTGTTACAAATCATGAGGAGAGACTAGTAATGAAGGTGAATGGCATACATAACGCCGCATCAATCTGCTGCCCTGCTACAGCTCAGTTGTACATATTCATTGTCTCCTTCATTGAGTTCAGTCATCAATGGTAGACCGACATTTATCACGGAAGGAAATTGAGTGTTATTCTCTCAGAGCCTGATTTGCTAAGATACCAAATAGCGCGTTCACTAGGAGAGTGGTGAGTGGTGTTGCCTGTGATCTAATCCGATTGTAATCTTTTTCTTTGTCTCAAATAACAGGCGTTTAATTGTACACTTATCACGCACTGTAACAGAGTGTGTGCACTTTTGGCAACAGGTGTAAAAGTGATGGAGACCGCTGGACTTAAATGAGGGTTTTTGCTTTTAGTAGTTTCTCAACATGGCCAATTTTGGAGTACCGGAAGTGATGGAATTCAGAGAAAAAATTTCTCAGCGGAATAATCAAGACAATAATTTCTTCTGAAAATGTAAGATAGCACAGCTCTAATTGAAAATAATTTGTCCTTAATCATATGGCATGACTCCTTCTTGTGACAGGCTCCAAGTCCGCCTTGGGGGCGCTAAACTCAAACATCGCATTGCTGAATTGGCAACATATCTCTAATTTGTAGTTGTTTGTTTCTTTTGGTTGTTTGACGTTTTCAAAAAATGTCGAGAGGAAACATTCCCTCTTTGGCCCTCAATTTGCCTGAGCTTTATTCAAACATTCAAAATCGATGCATTCAAATTCATCTCAGGTTTGATGAATCACATTGGATGCGCCAAATCGTTTTTTTTTTGCATGCACTCCTCCCAGAGTGTTGAAAATGAACTGTGGTTTAATTTTACTCATTTGGAAGACACATTCCTGGGCGTACCCGGGTCATGGATCAACCTACACGTCATTTGTTTGCATGTGCAAACATTTAGTATGTTTCCCCCCCCGTCTCCCAGTGCCTCTGTTGTCCCGCCCTGTGTGCAATGAAAGCCCGATTTCTTAATGGGGCTTTGTTTTGTTTCAACCCCACCCACTCGCCCCTCCCATAGCACACACCGCTTTGTTTGCTTCCCGCGAGCTTTTCTTGAAAGCAGTTGCACTGTCCCCCTCTCCACTTAATCACTTCAAGGTACTTCCTTACAGAAAGTGGGCGTTTTGAGTGGAAGTCTTATTTCTGCTCTCCTCTCCATCCAAGTTCACCGTGTTGAGCGAAAGTGGTGGGTGGGTGTGCTAAGACGGCAAGAGAAGTGAAATGGAACTCCTGGATCTCACCGCCCACCTGCCTTTCCCGCAGAAAGACGTCGTTTCTTTCTAGTCTGGCTCTCTGCCTTTCTCGGTGTCAGCATAATTGTCAAGTTTGGTGTGATCATTCATCACTCTCAAGAGCACTGATGTGGCGTGATTTCCTTCTCCAAATACTGCGGGGAGCAAACACATTTGAGTAGCCGTTTAAGTGTATGTGGCAGGGCGCACTCTTCATTTTTCTTACATGTAAATGAAAGCTATTTTTCTGTCTGCCTCCGTAGCGAAAAACGTCTCGAAAGTATTTTTCTCGACTTACCGTGAAAGGAAGCCCGTCATCAGCGAACCTCAGCCTTGTCTCGGGGAATGACATGATTTGTCAGGAATACATTAAATTCAAATGTGGTTACGTTATGCCGTGATTTGTGGTTCTCGTGACGGAGGTTATTAGTTTGTCTGGCTCAGTTCAGCGACAGGATGGATGGATGATTCTGTCTTCCCCTGCGTTGCGGAGCGTCCCACTTTATCAGATGAAAGCAACTGGTCACGTGCTTTCTCAATGACTGCGGGCTCCCTGATTGAAATGTCAGCGTTGCACAAGAGTGGCAGGCTGCTGATTAATTTCGGTTCATGTTGTCTTTTAGTCGTGATTACACGGTTCATTATTCAGTGATTGAGTCTGTGCGAGTAAAGAAAGCAATGCTTTGGGAAGAAGAGGAATGAGCGAGCGCCTGTGTCTGTTTGCAGGATTTTCATTCACCTTTTGGGTCGTCTGTGTTAATGTCATTCTTTCGAAGGTCATCGTCAAGCCCCCTTCCTCGTGGAGATGATAATCCATCCGAAATGGGACTCCCGACGGGAATAATGCGACTGTAACCGTAACCCATGTCGATTTGAGCCGGTGTCATCGCAGAACACTAATCGATTCGATGAACGAGCATCTGCAAAAAAAAAAACGATCCACTGGCGGTAAAGCACATCGACAGTTCAACAATAAAAGCAGAGACCATTAAAACACGGTCAAGTATGGCACATTAGAGGGGCACAGACAATAAATAAGGTGCTGGAGGGGAAGTTCAGTCGAGGCCAGCCAAACAGTTTGTCACCAAATCTAACACTGTTATTATTCTCATCGCTAATTTGCAGCCAACAATCAGATATCTTTTCAACAAACTTGGTTAGCGAGAAAAGGAGATGACACCAGTTGATTTTCTGGTTCAAGAATGGGTGCTTTGCCTGAGGTGTACTCTCCGAGTGCCTCGTCGTTTCCATCTGCCTTAATTCATTTTGATCGCCTGCCTGGAGATTAGACATGATACCCTGCGCTCTCGTCACTAATGCCTTTCTTCTTTATTGATCAAGGCAATTTCCTGGTTGCCTAAAATTTGGGACTGTGTCATCTTCTTGAACGCGTAAAAGCCGAGTTTCCGCTTGGGCAAGTATGCCATTACAATCAACTCGAAAATTGTTTTTGCGTTTGCTTCGTAATAGTCTCCCTTTTTGCTCGGCTTGTTGTGCTGCATTTATTGTTTGCCCTTTCAAGGGATTTTATCAGATGCGGTCTTGTGATGTGCAATCGTATAGTAAAGTGGCTATTTCGTTTCACGTTACGAGAATTTTCCAAGGCATATGATACTGTTTTAGATTGATTTTCTATCCCCCTTGCAGCAGCAGCAGCAGCAGACTTCTCCCCTTACCGCTGCTGGTTGAATTGTATTTTTTTCAGATTTGTAATTCATCTCTAACATTGTCACCATGAACTTTGTCCTTTTTTTTGTTGTTGTTCATGGATAGTAAAACACTTGATTGGAACATCTGTCATTTCATCGCTGAAAATAAGTTTACTCTTTCAAACTCTACTTGGAACCCGAGTTTGCACACTCATTATTTCTCATCATTCACGCTTCTGTCTTGAGGATCTTTTCTGGAGTGTTATCGCACTCTGCTGTGTTTATGCTTCACGTTTCAGATAACGTGTTTTTATTGTACAATTTTGTGGCTTTCCCCGAGGCTGTTAGTGTCCCAATACAAACATTCATTCCCCTTTCTCTGCTACCGCTTTGCAGTAATGGAAGACAAGAAATACATTCCTCACACGCATCAGCCATCAATTATTTGTCAACATTTTCCATTTCTAAAGATGAACTCCGGATAGACCAGTTTTCTCCGAACGCTATCTATTTCATATCTTCCAAATACTAAGCCTCGGATTCCTTTGCAATGGATCAAGTTTTGCCTGACTCCATTCTCTTTACATTTTAGCTCTTGGAAGGCAGTTTTACGTCCCAGGTCAGCCACGAAGTTGATGGCCTCATCTTCCAGCCATGTGGGGTAAGTAAGGCCCACTTGACAAATGCATCTAATAAATACGAGAAACAGAAATTTCACAGGAACGCGGTCCCGCTGCGTTTGACTTGAGAAGCGGCTAAATTCTGACGCAGTTGCACTCGGTTTTGGAATAACAGTGCAGAAGTCACGATGGGAAAAAAAAATACATAAAATAACCATCAAAGAATTGAAATAATTGTCCAACAAATACTAGTGAGGATAAGTGGTTCAGAAGTTCAAAAATTAAAATACAATTGAATATTAAATGCTATTATTTGGCATTTTATCTTTTATCAGTCAGGGTTTCTGCCACTTTGCATGTCGGGAAACACAATCTTGACTCACTCAATAAATCCTCTCATTAAAATGCATTTACTTTTCTGACCTTTTTGCTCGCAACATGGTTTATTGACTGGCACGGAGGGACTAATGCGTCATCCTGTATAAGCAAGCATTGATTTGTAAATAATATTTCACATTAGCAGCCGCAATGTGAAACAACACAGCAACTCAGTCGGAAGCAACGTATACATTTCGTTTTGGAGAATGACTGTGAATTTGTAGAGATTGGATCGAAAATCATTCCTAGAGATCTCAAATAAAGGCCCCTGCTGCAGCATTTTATAGTCTTTAACAAATCGGGGATCCGTATCGGATGAAGAAGCAAGCGCTGCCCGGCACTGCAGCCACTTCCAAAGCTTTGTTCCTCTCCCCAGTCGATGCATTGTTAATCTTTTTTGCGTGAATGAGATTAGGCCTCAGGGGTTGATCTTACCGGGGCCTTGCTACTGTGAACGTCCATTAATATTCGCACAAAGGATCTTACTGCAGCAGCGGTAGGTGTCTTATCAGAGCCACTGCAGAGCCTCTCTGGAATATGTTTTCTTTGTTCACGGGATCGTACCACCTTCAAGACCTTTGACCTTCAACGCAGATGGCTAATATAAAAATGGTAGATTGACTATTGAATGAAGAGGTTCTTTTGCTCTTTTCGTGATTGTCTCCATCACAACAGATAGCTAACAAAGGATTGGGCATTATTTCAAATATATTCCAAAATAGTTTTGGCAAAGCTCCTGAAACCCAAGTTAATAGGTCGGCGCAAGGTTGCGGGGGCTGCGGAGCGACTGGTTCTGAGTGTGCTCGCGAGTTCACGGCTGATGATTGACACCTAGTTGGTCACTCCTTCTGCCTCTGATAGGTTGTTGCACCTCGGTGCGGTTTTGTTAAACACAGTTATATATATTTGCCAATGTTTTTCTAATGACTTTATCCCATTTTGACATTTCTGTGCAAAACTTCTTTCAATCCACACGCATTGTTGCTTGGCGCTCGCTGATTGTAATTGCATAATATTCCCACGTTTGCTGTTACGGGGCCCATACCACATATGTTTGTGTTGAATATTGTAATGAATATAGGCACATTGTTATCCATTGTATTTATTTTAAAAAAACAACAACAAGAAAGCATAAATTGCATCAGTATTGAATTAAGCGATGGATGACATGCATGTGCAATCTCCTTTTCTGTGAATGTTTTTATTCCGGATTCCAGAATACGGGACCCGTGAGAACATATTCATCTTGTTAAGATTTCGCCAGTCTTGTTGCCGCGCATCCATTTTCTTTCTTTATTGTTGTTTTTCTCCTCCTTTTTCCTGCGGCAAAGTGAAAAGCGTGGAGCTCTGTCTCTTCCTGCGCAAATATGGATTGTAAAGGATCAAATGGAGGCAAGCTATTTCAGGACTTAAAAGGGAGTAACAAATCTCTGATCTGCAGCCGTTCAATAGCTTGTCACCTTTTCTGTTTGCTGCGCCCTCCAGCTTCTACTATACAGTCCCCCTCCCCCCACCCCCCACCGTGTCATTTATTTCCCCGTGGTGACTTGAAGGGTTATGGTTTGGTCCCGCCAACAATACCCGATTTACAGTAGTAGTTGTTTTCACATATCTCTATCGACGTAATGATGCCTATGAATTTGTATTTGTGATGCCGTTGTTCCCTCATGCAAGCGCAACCCTGTTTTGCCCTCTTTTTTTCTTCACAGGGAGTTTCAGCATGCCTGCAAACAAGAGCTTGTAATGGGATTGAGTGTCAGGTTTATATAATTGCATCTGGATTCAAATGTATGCATGCATATTCCACAGAACAACAAATGAAGAGAACAGAATTGCTCAAGAAAAACAGGCATTTTTATTATTCCTAAAGCGTTACCGTGATACAAGTAGGCCGTGCTTGACTGGCTGAGATAAATTACGATAGTTAACAATTTCAAGCACTTTCCTATTTGCCAAAATTAAACACGTCATTAAAACAGGCAATGATAGCCACCACCACCCCGACTGCCTTAACAGTCCTTTGTTTATTTTATTTTGGTGTTTGTCTTTGGTTTGGTCCAAGACATAGCGGACGTAATAATTCAGTGCAATCAGGATCCGAGGTCAATATCACTGATAGGTTGTATCATTTAAAATGATCACAATTTTTCCCTTTCTCAGTGAAGCAAGGGAAAATTCTTGGTTGTCCATGGGCTGACTTCATTAAACATAAATGACATCAAATGGTTTCATTATCACCGTAATCGATGCGGACAGTATTATGATAGGAGTATATACTATAATATTGATGTGCCACTGACTTGCTCTGGACTAGAAAATACGCGAGTGCATAAAGTGGATGGTTGAAGTCTAAAACATTTAAATGAGAGAGAAAAATTTCGGCACTTCTAAAGCCTTTTGCATCACTGTCACGATCATCAGTCAGACGGCGGCCGCCTTTGCGTTGCTCTCTGGGACCCGCTGGGCACTTTCAAAGCAATCTGGCATTATTACATGGAAATAATTTTGATACAAGTACGGCTGAATTCAACGTGCAACGCCAAGGTCTCTTTTTCTCTTAGGCAATAATAAAGCTTTTGTTTTGTAAAGTCCAATATTATCAACGCCGAAATTGCAAATAGAAGTGCTGCTGGGTGCCCCTTGCCATTTGGGAATGCTTTTCACGGTCGCGTGTTTAATCGGGTGTCTGATTGGGTTTTATCAGATTGTTGCTCGGATCTATTCATCGGAGACTGCACTTTGCTTTTGAGTGGAAGAGGTTACAAAACCATTCAGAGCAGCAAGGAAGTCGACGTTCAAAAATCCTTTTTCTATGCGTGCACACTGCAGTTGTGAATTCCAAACGCTCACTAGCGCGTGTTCTCATCAGCTTTGCAGGTGAGCTGGAGCCCAACCCTGCTGACTAAGAAGGCGGCAGGGTAGAACAGGTTATAAAAAGCCCCTCTGTTTCATTATTATTATTTTTTTTTAATCACAAAAACTTGGCATTTCAAAATGGTATAATGTAGACCTTTTCGATCAACGATATATTCATCAAAGGACATTTCTATGTTCTGTGTCGGCAGAGATACAAGCCCGGAAGGTGCGATGACATCCTGAAGTGGAAGCCCCCAAACCTCAATTCGGTGGACTTTCGCCTCAAGATTACAAAAGTCGGAGGCGAAGGGTATGTGGAACGGTACCCCTTGCACGCTTCACACTGTCTATGCTGATGTCACTTTGTGTTTCACAGTCCGAAAGATACCTTACATGGACAAGAAATGAACTGACATGAATCTTTCCTCTGTCTATTTCTCACACTTGCCCCCACCCCTCCCCCACCCCACTCCCTTCCTTTCAAATTGCCTTGGGGACCAATTGCTCTTATGAAACCACTGCAATAGTGTCCAGCGCTCCTTCCTTTTACCATATTGGCAGAGAATGTTTGCTTTTAGAGCCGATAAGTGCAAAGAGCACGGCTGCCCTTCACGTTTTTTTCCCTCATTTTCTGGTCATCACGCTCTGTAACATGAATTATTCAGATGCACCGGTGCTTATCTCTGCGAGCCCCCGCCCGCCCTCAAAAAGTATTTTTATGCCGTAAAAGGCAATCATTCCCTCGCAGGTAATTAGAGGATTTCCATGTTTCTAGTCTGCTTTTATAGTAGAAAGGTTATCAATTGCAAGTGGAAGCTGTCATTCCATTGAAATAACCTGAAATGGAGTTTCAGGTTTGATTAGCATTTGTAAATAAGGATTGTAAGATTATACTCACGCAGTGGTGCTGGGTTGACACTTATGTGATGAAAAGATGCGCTGACGTCGACTAGTTTAATGTTTTTGCAGTACTGCAATTTAAAAAAAAAAATCACTGGAAGAGGGAATGTTTTTGAATCTGGTCACTGCGCTCTGAGCTTGGCCGTGGAACAATGTGTGCCAGTGCACTCATCTCATCCCATTACAGCAGACTTGATGCTCACGCAGCCTCCTCCTCTGAGAGACGGGCGACCTCACTGACCGTCTCCGGCTTCTGAGCCTCGCCATCATTCATCGGCAGTCGCTCACGCTTCATCAAAGTCGAATCTTGTGCGCGGGAGAACACGGGGGCATCATTGTAGTTGCCGTTTGAGAGAGTCGTGATACTTCTCCCCAAAGAGGAATTGATTGGCAGCGGCCCTCATCCGACCTCGCTCCATCTTGGACTTTCAAGTCGCTCCTCAGTTACCGCCCGAGCGAAAGCGAGAGCCGGACAGACACACGAGGAGCTAACCGTCGCGTATTCATCGGCCCACGCAATCAGTTCTGCAGTTTCTTCAATGCATCTTTGAAAGAAACACAGTTCTGAGGTTGGGTCCGAGTCTGGGCTTCGGTCTTTCAAGGACAGGACGCACCAAGAATAAATTGTTGTGTTTGGTTATTTTCCGTGCGTAACTTTCTTCGAGCCCAGATTAGACGTATCTGGTGGGCTGCAAAGCAATGCATAAGGAAAAGCGCGACTGTTGCCTTGAGATAAGGAGAGCACATTTGTCATCGAATATATGGTTTTTATCAATTTTTCAAGTTAGATTCTACTTCCCTGTTTTTGTTGTTGTTGTTTTTTTTTTGTTTTGTTTTTTTTTATTATTAATAATTTCCTCTGGGCTGTAGAACATTATTTTTCTTCTTCTGCTTCTCTTGACATTTAGTGCAACCAACACTATTACATCCCAGTCTGTTTTTTAAACGCTGTAACGTTTGATACTTTAGTTGACCCTAACTCCGTGACAAGTGATGATGTGTTCAACTGAGCAGCAGTAAAATTCTCGGTTGCATTTTTTTTTTTTTCTTCATTTTTGTAACAGCTCTGTTAGTCAGGCGTATTAATAGAGCAGTGACAAGAAAGGACAGATGCATGGGTCCATTACTGCAGCAGGGCTGTTTGGCTCTTTTAATGTCCTTCCTTCCTCTCCGTGTTGGCTATTATTACACGGAAGGATGCCGGAGTGACACTTTCCTATTTCTTCTCATTCTCTGAATGAAATTCACAAGAGCCGCACTGTAGTTGGAGCTATCAGTTAGTAACAATAGCCCCCTTTGTTTCCGCCGCACGGATGGTTAACTAAAATAAAACGGGAACCCGCTCTCGACTCTCGGATTCTAATAGAGCTTGATTGTCTGCAAATAACAACAGGCTCGTGGTTGGGGGGCAATGAGAGGGTGCTGAGCACTGGGGCAGTGTGTGATTAAGACATCTGTTGGGCTGCATCTCGGGTGTGAGACAGAAATACTGCGCAGACACTTTCATTGTACCCGCACACACACACGCACAGATGCAAATAAAACTCACCAAGGTGTGATTGAACTGCGCCGACAGCTTACAGTCTCACTTTGTACGTAATGGGTGGAATCTTATTTTCTATTCTGGACAGTTTCTTCCGATTTATCTTAGCCTCAGCCTTGGATTGTGGACATAATGTCGTTTTTTGTTTTTTTTTTTTTTTTTTCCCCCTGCACCTCAAGCTGCGCACAGAGACAGAAGGGCTCGCGGGGGTGCAATATCACATTCCTGTCATTCTGTTACTAGCTGCAAAATGGAAGCAGCGTGATGATGTCTTTGCACCACTCAAGATACTCTTGAGCTGGATCCTTCACACACTATTAACTATAGTCTATTTTTATTTTATTTTTTTTAATCTTTACAGGCTGCTGCCTCAGACGGTCGGCTTGCTTTACGTCGGCAACTACGAGAGGCCCTTTGCAAAGATGAAGGTGAGAGAATGTGTTGCTTTTCATGAATGACACATCTTGTGATCCTGTTTAATGAATTCCATTTTCAAGTCTGGTGTGATGTGGGTGCAAAGTATACTCTTTATGAAACATCTATCATATTCTAGTAATCACATTAAACAGTGTCCTGAATGCCTTATCTCTTTGAGACACCCGAACCCTTCCGCGCATTTCCTTCAACTCCCCCCGGCAACTATAGGAGCAAACATGGTATATGATGATCCTCTTAGAGCTGATTTACGGCCATCTCGGGCATACTTTTGACACACGATGCATCACTTATGCTAATGAGCCTCTGGAAACTGGTGTAAATAATTAGTCTCGCTAATTATTTATACTTCTCCTACTTCATTTCTACTCCCATTTCCCTGATGCACGCCCGCTACGAGACTCGAAATGAAACGGAGTCATTTTCCAGAGCCCGTCGGCTGCGCATTTTAGCTGAATTCTACCGATATGTGGCCGATGAGTGGAGCTCATTAATCATTGAAAATCTGGCAGTTGGCTGACAGACCTTGTCACCAGAAATGAGAATAAGAGCATCTCATCGTTGGACTGCTTCTTTCTGATGAAGCTACGACGGTCTAGAAATGTGAACTTGGCCTGCAGACTGCACTTTTTGTCACAATGTCATGAATGCGGGCATTGGCTCCGATTTGAGTCCAAGGTACAATGTCTCAAGTCCCCCATCTACAAGTACGCTGGATATACCAAAATTCTGTCATATGCAGTCATGTAACAGTCGAAAAAAAAAAAAAAAATCCTCCTGCCAAGCTCTCGGATAACCATGAGCACGCATGCGCCGCCAGAACCAACAGATTTGGACAGATTAAGCACCAGGTGTTCTGGGAAAAAGTGGCAGCCAACATGTCGACCTACACCAGCAGGAAGAGACTCAGCCTGTAGCTCGCCTATACTGCCCTTCACTTGTCTGCCAGCATGCTGTGCAGAGTTCTCGGAAGGCATCGTCCCCCCACAGGGCCTCGGTTCTGTTTGAAGAGTCTTTCCTTGCCGCTATTTCCAAGTGCTTGCTCGTGTGGAATTCACTTTATTTTCTTATATCATGTAAGGGGGAATTTGGGAATCTGTGAAGCGCCTCGATAAATCTTCTGCTTTGAATTGGCACGATATGAATACAAGTGACATGACTTTGTGATCGTGTCACTCCTTTAGATGCTTGTCCAACCTGAAAAAAAAAAGGATGGACCAGAAATATTGTTGGGTAACCAGTCACACTGATGCTGCTGGCTGGCGTACAGTGGAGCTGAAACTCGGCACCGCTTTTTGTGATTTGCGTCACAAGTGTACAACATGTACGAAATGTGCAGAGATGCAACGTTGCCACGTTTGCGGTCAAACACTTGATTTCTATATTTTGTGGCCGCAATGTTCAATGCGGTACGTGACTTGCCAACACGCCCTGCTCCTGCTTTAAAGGCTTGTTAATTTGTATGTCTGAATTGCACTTGATGGAATTTGGCTCTGCGGCTTGTGTTCTCCATCTTCCTCCCTCGCACGCCGTCTTGCTTCCTGTGTGATATTTGTGGCGCCCCCGCTGTCAGTCCAGATGCCCCACACCCCGGGAAGGATGAAGCCCTCGTGTAGAATCCTAGGATCTTGCCAAACTCCTTCGCTTTCTTGGCTGATTTTCCTTGCCTGACCTTTGCTGAATGTCAATGTTCCCTGCGAACGTGGATGACACGCTGTTCGATGGTCTTTGTTGGTGTTGACTTGCCTTTTGTTCACCGAGGCGGTCTTTCAAGTAGCTGATCGTTGGTTACCGTGGCAAAGGGAGATACGTTTTTGTCTTTTTTGTCGTTTGTGTGCCATCGTTGAGTATTTTCAACCTCCAACTTGAAGGCGAAATGGCCGCGCTTTGCTGTTCAGATGTCCAACGGATTGTCTTCATCTCAAATATCAGGAAGCAAGTCTGCGATCCAGATCACAGCTCACAACTCATCTGTTGGTTTGTTTGTCATACTATCCCGCTGCATTCAATGGTGCCGCAACTGAGAAGTCTGTTTTGTTTGGTTGAGCCTAAAAGATTGTCTCGTCGGAATTGGGCAAAATCCCGACATGGCAAGACAGCCTCTTATATTGCCGTAGCCTCATTCGCGGTTGGGTTGATCAAACAGGATGAAGGGGTATCATCAACTGACATCTTCCGATATTAGAAGCCAGTTCTATGTGAAGCAAGGGAGAGATAAGGTAGTCATGGGGCGATGAGACATGACAGCGGCATTGGCAGTGATGGGCTCAAATGGATGAAATGGATCAGAAAGTGAATGCATCATCGGAGTCGAGGTTGCACAATAACAATTTTTTTTAAAAAGGCTAATTATGGGAAATGTTGTCTCGCATTCTCGCCAGTCTCGTGAATGTTCCAGGTAGATGTCCCTGCCGTTGTTTTTCGAGTTTAGTTCTGCTCAGCTGGTCGAGCAGCTACCATCTCGCCTTCGCACAATCGCTTCGTGTAGCCAGGCAACTGACTGGATGTTGTTTTCCTGCGTCGGAGTGTTTGACCTTCATGGAGGTGGGCAGATGCCTTCATGGAGGTGGCCAACTCTGTCATCATCGTGGAGAATGTGACAATGCCTGCTGCGTGGTATTTCCTTAGACAGCCTCGAGGATTGCAATCTTAAGGCACGCAGTTGGGACTTACAAAATTGCATAAAATGTCATCGATAACACTTGTTGCAGTTGTTTCTAAAACATGTTAGTATTTTTGATCGATATGATAGCCATGATAGCCGATGCACACATTTTACACACATTGCAGTTCAATGACAGGAACTTTAGCATTTTCGGTGCATTGTTTCTCAAGTAGTGGCCTCCACTCTGAGTTAAAGGCTAGAATTCCGAAATGTTTAACTAGACGAGTGCTGTCCTTTGCTGAACTGGAGCCGCACTCACTTTCTCAAAGTTGAGTCGCGGCTGCCTGCTCCAATATAGTCCCGAATGTTAATGGATATTTAATGTGTTTTGAACGCCGCGGTCATTGCAATTAGTGAATTTCATTGATGACATTCGGATGATGCCTTGTCCTCACAGCCAGCTGGAGCCAGATCTCACTCTTACAGAATGCAGTGGTTTGCTAATAAGTATAATTGGCAATCATCGCAACAGTAGTGCGGCATTGTCCTCCCTGACCGGTGAAAGTAAAATGCAGCTGTGTTGTCTGTCGCTTCCGCAGGCCACGAAAGAGCTGAAACTTTACGACAACAAGATCATCGAGTGCACCTTCGACAACAACAGCTGGGTGTTCATGAGGCAGAGGATAGACAAGAGCTTCCCAAACTCCTACGACACAGCCATGGGTGAGTCTTCTTTGTTGCGAGTTGAAGACTTGCTTAGTGGGCAGCCGTTTCCTAAAACAGCACTGAAGAAAGCACTAAAGGTAAGTCAACTCCCCTCGTGCATCCATCCAACGGCCGCACTGAAAGTATTGGAGTGCTGACTTTACCCTTGATGGAAAAATAATGTACAGTATTTACAGATACAACAACCTGGGCGAGAAATGCCCTCTTCCAAACAACCTGTACAAAAAACAACTTGACTTAGACGCTTGCGTGTATGTGATCGCGCACATCTGTGGCAGTAAACGAGTGGATTCCAGTTGACAAATCTAAACTACCGTGAATGGGTTAATAATACCTCCCACGCGGCTTGAACAAGAATTCACTGTAGCCGCTCCTTGACGGTTATCCCTCCCATCCCCTTGTCTTTTCCCAGCGGTATGTAAAAGCATCCAGGAACCCGTCACCAAGAAAATCCTGTTGGAGTATGTGGACCGTTGTCCTCAAGCAGTCCAAGCCCAGACCCGCAAACACCAAACAGACCCGGACTCTGAGCTAATGCCCCCTCCCCCTCCGAAGAGACCGAACCGATCCATCCAATAGACTCGAGTCGAGCACCCTGGGCCACTCCGGACTTTTCTACAGCCGCTGTCCATTCTTAGCACCAGCCATCTCTGCCTGATGGAAAGTGATATTTTGAGGCGTCCATATCCACCCAGCAACCTGTCCACATTTAATTTACCTAGTTATATTGTTTGTAGCTTTAATTGCTGGTGTCTTATTCAAATAAACAGAAAAAAAAGAGTCTGAGCTATTTGAGTCGGTGGTCGCGTATTTGTATTTACAGATGTAAACATCACCATCATCAGCAACTCTTCATAACCGGTTGAATTTTAAAATCAATACAAAAAAAAAAAAAATAGTCCGTTTGAGATGTCACTTTGTTTTTGCAAGTGTAAGGAATTGATGTTTTTTCTGATGAAAAGAAAAGAGCATAATTCAGATCTGGCTTGGATGTGAACACTTCAAGTTGTCCAAATGAAGCCCATCTGCAGATTGAAAGGCCACACAGATGGGTGGGGATGTAACACAGGGATGACACACGCCTCACAAACAGACAGGGCAAGTGGAAAATCAATCTGCTAAAAAAAAAAAAAAAAAAAAAAATCCCCCAAATTACTCATTTTATTTTGATCATTTGAAATCTCAATTGGAGTTTCCTCATTTGACACCAACTTATACTATTGTGACAAGATTGAGTGATAATTTTGGCCATTTTTTTTTTCTTTTTTGGCTTTTAGGGCGCGTAGCCTGTATGTACATTTTGAGAGGAGGTTGACACTGTTGGGTTTAGTCATGCAGTGTGGAGGATCGAGTGAATCTAAGTCATTGGCATATAGGAGCATATAGGGGGCTGGAACAAATCAGGTGTGCATGTGTTTTAAGGCCCTGCCTGCGAGTGCCAAAGGCGACTGTTGTTGCAAGAGTAGAGATGGATGAGATGCACTCACAGGTTGCACTCGGGAGCTGGCTGACTCTCATCAAAGTCTCGTTCACCTTCTTGCAGTGATGATGCATCATTGCACTCCCGGAATATCCTCAACAGCAAACGTCACTGCGGGAAGGAAAAAAAAAATGCCTCGAACAGCAAGCGAAACGTGGCACCGCTATGTGACAATATCGCTGTGCAAACACCTTTTTGCCCCTTCTCCATGACGTTTCATTCGATGAGGAGTCTATTTTTAGTTTATCGCTTAGAGTTCCTCCAAAGTGAAAATCATTGTTTGGTGTAAATTTGACACATCACAGAAATGCCAACTTTCAATCATTCAACAGAAAAATCAAATTAGGCTTCAAAATCATGCACATTCGAGCAGTTTGCCCCGCTCTCACCACGGTGCGCTTCTCAGCTGAAAACACACCCTGCCGAACCTCTTTCTCATGCCTACACAAGCCTCCGTATTTGATCTGGCAAAATATCTCAAAACCTCCGGTGGTTGGAAGGTTTCCCACCAGGTGGACGGGGCTTTTCCGCGCTGAGACAATGAGGCACTCTAAACCAGCCACACCAGCCAGAAGCCCACACTGAATTTTTAACCCCACTCATAAATAAAAAAAACATTTCCCCACTCATTGCTCTTCTGTCTTTCCCTGCAATACATGCACTCACTCGCGGCTGACAACGAGGCACTCTTAAGCGACCACACCAGCATACTATCTTAAGGGACGATGTGTTTTTGGGGTGTAGGCGTAGCAAGCAATCAATCTATGAGCTGGGCAAGACCTCAAGTTGACCCCCCCCCCCCACCACTACCACCATCACCACTTTCTACGTACATCTCATGCTAAAGCGCGAGGGTCCTTCCAAGGCTGCCAAGCAAACATAAACAAGGGAGACGCAAAATCAGTAGCATTAATAACGCTGAGTTTTCTCCCCGACTGCGAGTCCCTCCCCGGGAGTGCAGGAGGCGAGATCTGTGATGTGAGTGCGTAAACACACCACGCGAGCGCAGGTGGTGCCGTCGACATTATGAGTCCCGCCGTTCTCTCTCGGTTCGAGCGCTGCCGCCCGGGAAGCTCATATTAAATCATCACAGGCCTTTCTTGCTGCATTGCTCGATGAGGTACTCGTGTCGCTGCTGGTCACCGGGCAAAGATGGCCAAGCAGTCATTTGTAGTCATCTCTCGGCGAAATACCACTTGCTGTCCTTTATGAGGTGGCTTGGAATAACACGTTTCGCTGCGGTAAGCCGTCAGCAGCGTGCGAGCCGATTAATACGCTCAAATTGGAAATTTAATTGCACACATTTTTTTTTCCCCGGGCTTTAGTCAGGGAGCCTTGGCGCCGCTGATCAATTCTCACATATTGCTCCTCATAGTCCCATTTGAGGGCAACTGTGATAATGCCACTGATGTCTCTGTAGAAAGGGAGGAGGCACTTTTTTTTTTTTTCAAAATAATGTGACGCAAAATGGAGGGTTGGTAGGCATGTGATTCCCAACCAATGTGCCAAGGCACACTACTGCGCGCTGTTAGAGATTTCAGGGATAATCGATTAGCTGTCGATTAATTGTTGCGCGTCTACTGAACACGAAATAAAGGTTTTATGATGTCAAGTTTGGTTTCGGAAGAGATTAATCAACTGGAAATTAATTTTGGTGTACTCTCTGTGAAAAAAAAAAGATTTTGGCATTAGAATAAAATAGAAGTCAACCATCTTCATCAAAGTATCGCATTCTGAGGGGATCACTCAATCAGCCAACCACTTTGCCATTTATATATTGAATTTATTTAAATGCCCCAGGATACAAGGGCTTCAATTTGCTATCAACAGAAAGATATATTTTTCAAATAATTTAAACAAATGTTATTAACCAAGACACAACGAGGCTGTTAATGTCAGGAAGACATCTTCAAAGGTTTAATTTCACAGTAGTTGCACAGCGATAAAAATGGCAATTTTCATATTCGGTATTCCTCATTCTCGTAGCTGTGGGCTTTTGCTTCTATTAATTATGACCGCATGCCTGTAAAAGTAATTGAAGAAACGGTCCAGGTAGACCACAAATCCAAGCTGCCACGGGACTCAATTGATTGTAAACAATTCACAAGTTAAATGCCACGTATTGTTTGGAGAACAAAGACGGAAAGTAATTTATGACACGTTCCCCGCCACAAACAGTATATATTTTATGGAACGATCATTCTTACACGCGGCCAAGTTAATGGAGTAAAGAAAAAGCTTGAATAGCATTTTCTTGTTTTCATGATTTTTACTCTCCGCCCGCAGGGTGCAAACAAATTGCCTCGCACCAAACTTGAAGGACGTGCAGAAAAAGTGATTTCAAGTTAATTACATAGAGTGCCAGTTTAGAGCGAAGAGTTAGTCGCCCTTGACAGTAAAACAAAACGGAGACATTGGAATTGCGGAACACATATACTGTCCTGACCTTTTATTGGTGATGTAACTCATGCTGGTCTCAGCAGAATTAAAAAAAAAATGTAAGAGGTATAATTCATGTGAATCACTTCAATAATATTTAGTCGATTAGTCAACTAGTCCGCTTAACTACTCTAGCTTATCGTTGAACGCTTGATGTGAACTCGCTGCTTACCACGTCTTCTGAACTCTTAACACAGGGTGGAGTAGCGACATATCGAAATGACGACGGGACGACACAGTCGCCGTACATCTGCGGAGGTCATACTGTCTAAAAATAAGATTGTGGATGAGAATAGCGATTAGCTTGGCTAACTTAGTGTACTGTTTAGTAAGTGCATTTGTTGAGTTCTTCTGGCTACGTCTTTGCATGTTTACAGCTGTTAATTGGTATTTACTGCAGTGACTTAAATGTAAATTATATTACAATTGTCCGGGGAGCCTCTCAGGCAAACGAAAATTCAATTACAGGTATTCCTTTCTGCTTTTAAGATGCAGATCTGCAACCACTCAAGTAAAGAGAGGACTGGCTTCACTTCATTGGATTTTGGTGACAGCGATGAAAGGAGACATTTTATTTTATTTTATTTTATTTTATTTTATTTTATTTTATTTTATTTTATAGGGGGTAATGGTCCAAGAAAATGAAGTGGACATTCCTTGGAATGCATTACCACAATGTTTTTGGGGTTTTTTTTTTCTTGAGAAAGTGTCACAAGGCCAAAGTTGTCGTCTGGCCATACTTGGTTTCGCTGAGAAAAATGGCACGGCAGTGAGCAGTGGCGTGCGCTGCCGGTCTAATGAGAACACATCATGAATGAATGGCAAAAGTTTTGTGAAGCGCATTACAGTTGTGAGAAAAGTTGCCGGGAGACAAATGCGGCCATCTTTGAGGAAAACACAAAAGCTTGCTGCAATTTTTCAAAACTAGATCAGCTTCTGGCTAGCACACGTCACGGCTGGCTGCACGTTAAAATAAAATACCGACCCTACTTTCAATCGTTTTCCCTGGGCTCTTTTAAATGGAGCCATACCAAATGCCATTAGAATTTTTTTTTTCGCATTATCATTCAGACTGTTCAAACTTTTACTGCTCCCTGTCTTGGAATTCTTCATTTCCTAAAAAGAAGAAAACCAGTTGTTTCACTTTCCTAAAAAGAAAAGATTGAAGCTGTTGATGTTCCCATTTTAAATGACATTTACTGTACTCTTGTTTCATCATTACGTTCGGGCTCCCTGAGGGCAACAGTAACTGCGACGCGTGGCTCGCAATGAAAACAAGTTTGACGCCACTGGTGCGCGGTGTCAAAATGAAATACACGGAAACCTCAAAGGTCACCAACAATCCATTCCGTAACACCGCCGACCTCTCATTTTCAAAGACATTTTTCCCCAAGGAAACAACAGAAACAGTCACCACCTTAGAATCTTTTAATAACTGTACAGGCAATGTTTCAAAGGCGGTTTTGTTGTTGTTGTTTTTTTTTTTTTTTTTTGGTGTGTGATGCACTGAAAAAGAAAAACACGTCGAGTTGTCTAAGACACGCATCAAATTACAAATCGACGTTCTCATAAAAACTCCCCGTCGTGCTTGCATTGTCTGGATTGGTTCCATCAGAAAACACCAGCCAGTCGCGGTTATTGATCCGCCTGCCTCTTGCAATTATTCCATTTGCCGTCATGTGAAGGTTAGAGGTGAGAACTTGAAGAACGGAAACTTGGCTATTTACTCGCAGCCCCTTGACTGTTTGCAGACTGAACAGAAAGATGATTTGTAGCGATGTTAGGTTAGGAAAAGAACATTTTGCGCCCAACCAGGAAATCGAAACATAGTTTTTTTCGAAATGTAGACCCTTTTTTGGGGGGCTCCCTTTTACAAATGCAATTCTCAAACTAATACAATTCTCTGTGGGATTCGTTCATCGTATCAAACGGCAAACTCTGCCTGTGTGTTTTTGCTTTAG